CCCAGTTTAATGTGCGTGTTGGTCAATGTTTGGATGGAATAACTACAGCCACATAGAAAAAAAGTGTTGAAATTTGTATTTCTGTTCATATTGGGTTGTAGGACTGCAACTAACGATTATTATGCAAGTCGATTATTTTTTCGATTAATAATCGGATGCAAAAGGTTCCTTAAAGAAGACTTTTTACAAAATCAAACCAGGTGAAACTAAAACTTTTCCACTTGAGGAGTTCTGAATAGACCATATTGACAGACAAAAAAAGTTTTTTAATCTTAAATGCAAAATATTTATGTATTTTTTGTTTACAATTTTTGATATAATTACTGCTCTGTCAACTAAAGGCATATTTTACAGTCTCTAGTCTCCATTTAACGATTAATCTATTGCTAAATTAGTTGATGATTATTTCAATAATCGATGAATAACAATGTGATTAATTAAGGAGAGGACGGTTGTTTTGTATCCAAACAAGATGGAGGCTCTGGGCAGGAGCAGTCTAAGCTCCTAAGCTTGTTAGTATTCTGCAATCTGTGAGTATCTGAGCAGAAGTAAGAAAACTCCTGACTTGCATCTCCCCAGTGACTGATCCTCCATCTGTGCTCTGTCTCGTGCTGTCACAGCTAAGGTGCTAAATCCTCATTAGACCTGACAAGGTAATCACGCCGGGACCATCTGTGTCGACCAGACAGTGGAAGATCAAGCAGGATGGCAGAGACCATCTGCCTCTAAAGTTCTTCTCTTATCACCTGCTCTTTATTCCTGGATAATCAATTAAGATTGAGAACTAATATAGAAAAATACATTTCTATCAGTAACTCTGATGAAAAGGGATATTTATACATAATAAATCAACTCATTCAACACCATATTAAATAACTAAAGGGTTTAGCTCTCTTAACTTTGGTCATAATGCCTCACATCTGATAAAATGCCAAATTTCATTTATTTAGAAAGTTATATTATTATTAGTCCAATAAAAACATCTTTATTAGAAAAATTGGGTATATGTACTCATTTGATCAGGGATTCTTTTGCAAGGATTGTTTCATCCAAACAATTTGGTATGGAGTTTGTCCCTCAGCACTACAAAAAAAAACAATAAATCCAAAATTGTAATTAATTTACAGTGGATGGAAAAAAAATAGGACTGCATGATATTAGGAAAGACACATAATATGTGTTCATTTTGTGATAATGATATAATTTGCAATAAATGTAAAGAAAGAATTAAAACCTTTTTTGGTCATTTTGCTTTGGGTTCATAGAAAACCTCAAAGTTTTATCTTCATAGTGTACTAACCACCTTTCCATCTTTTTACCCTCTAAAACTATTTATGCTGGATTAAACATAAATTTTAACTGAAAATATCATAGACATACAGATCCTACATGCATGGTGTGTAGCTCATTAGGTAAAATGCATTTCAGTTTTTAGCGATATGCATACTTTAGTCCAATCTCTCATGTTATGCCCCCTCTGCTTTTTCTGATCATAGTAGCTTTATCTGGTCTGTTCCTGTTAGACCGTGACACCATCCTGGAGAGAAATATCAGCTGTGATGCTGCCATCTACACCTGTGTTTTTAGATGTTGGAGCTCTGGCATTTTTTTCAGTGTAGTCCTGTTTCTCTGACTGTGACTAACTGGATGTGCTCTCTTTCATCCTCTGACGTGGGAGCTGGGTTGGGGCTTGTCTGCTTGGTTGTGTGTTGCTTGGACAGGGCTGCGGGCTGTGGAGCTGGTTGACAGTTGCATTTTGTATCTCTGCTTCTGTCTCGTTTAACCCCAGTTGGCCTCAGTAGAGTGGTGGAGTGGCGGCCTAGTGGTTAGGGCATAGGGTTTTGAATCCTGAGGTTGTGAATTTGATCTCCCACAGACTGCTACTCTAGGTCCCTGAGCAAGACCCTTAACCCCACACTGCTCCCCGAGCACCTCACAATGGCAGCTCCCCAAGGGGATGGGTTAAATGCAGAGAAGTAATTTCCCTCTGGAATTATTAGAGTATATAAAATCAAAAAAATAAAATAAAATAGATGGCTGCTCACACTGAGTCTGGTTCTGCTGAACATTTCTTCCTGTTAAAGGGGAGGTTTTCCTCTCCACTGTCGCTACAAGCATGCTTGGTGTGAGGAATTGCCTTTGAGTCAATGAGTTGATGAAATCAACTGGTGTTCCTTGGGTAGAAAACTTTGAATCAGTTTGACTGTATGATCTGGTTGAACTGTCTCTTTAAAGTGCCTTGAGATGACATGGGTTGTGAATTGGCGCTTTATAAATAAACTGAATTTAATTAAATTGAATACTGAGTTTTGCTATTGCGATAAAATTTGCATTATATTGTGCATCTCTATAGTAATTTAAAAGGTACTATTTTTTCCCTCCATGTAAATTCAGAAACAACCTAGTGGAGTTTGTTGGCTTCCACACTTACACTGGGACAATATAATGGTGATAACTGATATCTGCAACCAACATTTAAATTCTCCTCAACATGAGCTAAACTTTGAGCAGGCCTTCACCTCCCACTGCTAATGAAAGAGCTGCCTACTGTAGATCCAAATGATGACATGGAAAAGATCAGGGTTTTAAAGCTTCAAAAGAGAAATCAGACAGATTATCTGTGGACCAAGCAACTGTTCTGTTTTTAAGATGTAGTGGAGATGGTCTAACCCATCTCCTTAAGATGCCCAGAGAATGTGAACAGTCAGCATTTTTTGGCATCCTTGCAGAAGATGTCGGTGACTGTCTACTGCCAGAGTCGTAGCCAGAAAATTTTAATAAGCATGGCAAGGCAATAACCAATGTACCCTGAGGGGTGGATGAAAGTGAATAGGCATCAGAACCTCAGGGTCCATCTAAACTGTTCCAACAGGAACGACCACAACATCCATATTTTGTAAATAAAGACTAACTACACTTTCCTACAGCATTTCCTAACAAATAGATGCATATAATTAAACAAATGTGCTGATTAATTAAAGGTGTATAGGACAACATTTCTGGGGCAAACATCTTCTCCATTGTCATTACCTACCTACTTTTACCAAAAATTCTTCTGCATAAAAAATATATTTATATGTACTAATGCCTACATTAAATGGATTTTGAAGTTATAATTAAAGTAGTTATTTATGTATGATTTCACTGATGACTCCTATATGACTTAATTTTCTTTTTACTTCATATAAAACAAAAATATCGTTCTTAAAAGAGCATTAATTCTGTATATATCAACTTTAATGTTAGTATTTTGATGTGCATAAACACAGCGTTTTTGTTGTCAAGCAGTTGTTAATATATGAAAAATTCAAATGTTTAATAAGTTTGAACAATCCCCTTTGAGAGTATTACTGATGCCACTGTGGGCGAAAAAAAATGGTAGGGGTGGCCACTGATTGGCTGAGGGTGGCAATGGCCACCCCTGGCCGCACATCTACCTCCGCCCCTGTCTACTGCTGTGCATTAGTAGTTCTTCTCCCCATGGCTGCATGATTAGTAATGTGGTCTTAAAGGAATAGTACACCCAAAACATGATTAGCCTTCATTTTCTACTCACCCCCATGCTGAACAACACTCTGGAGTACTTTTTTGATATCTCAAATGCATCTGGAGATCTGGGAGGCTTCTTGCTGTCTGCTGACATTCAAATAATGGAGGTCTATGGCGCCCGAGGCAGAAAGGTCCATAAAAGTCCACAAAAAACGTGTCAATATTCCTCCATACTGCTCGTCCAATGTATTCCAAGTGTCCTGAGTGGGTAGCGTCCATAATTTACTCGAAACGAAGTCATTTAGAATGTTTTTAGAGCATAAACAGTAGTGTATAGGATTTCCTAAAAGCGCGCGCCTGCGAGTTCACGAGCCTACGGAAACCGCGGCAGACCAAACCAGATGAAAGTGCGCATAGGAAATCCTATACACTACTGTTTATGCTCTAAAAACATTCTAAATGACTTCGTTTCGAGTAAATTATGGACGCTACCCACTCAGGACACTTGGAATACATTGGACAAGCAGTATGGAGGAATATTGACACGTTTTTTGTGGACTTTTATGGACCTTTCTGCCTCGGGCGCCATAGACTTCCATTATTTGAATGTCAGCAGACAGCAAGAAGCCTCCCAGATCTCCAGATGCATTTGAGATATCAAAAAAGTACTCCAGGGTGTTGTTCAGCATGGGGGTGAGTAGAAAATGAAGGCTAATCATGTTTTGGTTGTACTATTCCTTTAAAGAAACGTTTCTTTATGACAGACAGTGGCGGTTCTACACCAAATGTTCCAGGGGGCTGAAGAAAAGCATGAAACAAAATAAAGGGGCAAGGTATTGAAATATATTAAAAGAGCTGCTTGAAGGGAAATTTCTTCAATTAGGTTTAACTGAAAATATTTATTTTTGGCTCAAAAATGTTCATTCGGATTATCGTTAAAATCAAAATAAAAAAGCAACTCAAGAAATTTTAAGTATATAAATATTTTTTAAAAATCAAATAAAGGTATTATTTGGAATAGGTCAATATAATTTCATCATTTAGGAATTTTATATATTTTTAACTTAATTTAAGTTAAAATTATAGTTTTCTATGAAATAAGAATTAGAACTCAATAAAAACTGATAAATTCAGCTATAAAAGTTTGAGTATTTTTTTTATTTGTTTTGGGGGAAAAAACGACAGATGAAAACGGGGATCCTATCTCAATATCACTGAAGCTATCACCTTATTGCTTTTAAATAATCGGTAAAACTTAATTTTTTAAAGAAAAAAAGTTAAACCATGCCTGCTCCAGCGCATATCATCATTAGAATTTCTCTTAGTATTATGTCTTTTGTACAGGGGCCACAACATGGTGGCCAGGCCAGGACATGATCTACAGGGGACTGGCCCCAGTTGGCCCCTGTCTAGAACCGCCCATGGTAAAATGGTAAAATCTATAACTATTTATAATAATTATTGAAAAGTAAAGGAACTTTGTAATGAGCAGCAGTCATGTCCCATTTTACCTGATCTGAACTCTGTATTGAGTGCAGAACCTCTGTGCACTGACAGATCATCCATGGACCTCCTCAGAGGGCCTGCCTTCCCCCCACAGCCCTTCAGGTAGGGGGGATGGTGGTCCGGACTCCCCCCGCTGCTCCCGTCCCCTCCGTCCCGGGGCGGCACCGGCCCGCTCAGGCTGGACTGGCTGTCGATGGAGCTCCGGGAGCCCGCTCCGTTCCTCTCCTCGTCCAGCATGAGGACGATCTCCTTCAGCTCGGAGTTCTCCGCCCTCAGCGCCTCCTGCCCGGCCTCCAGCTCGGTCAGCTTCTGCTGGTACAGCCCCAGCTCCCTCCACAGCACGCCGGCCGTGTAGCGGCCGAAGCGCTGCCACTCCCGGGACACCTTCCTGTCCTTCTGTCGGTCGTCGTCCAGGAAGCAGCAGAGCTCCCGCAGCTCCTGGTTGTCCTCCTGCAGCTTCTGGTTCACCTCCTTCAGGCTCCGGATCTCCTGGAGGTGGACCTGCAGGCTGCGGTTCACCTCCTTCATCAGTTTCCCATGCTCCAGCATCAGGTCCTTGTTGCGGTTCTGCAGAGCCCGCAGCGTTCGGATCAGGTCCTCCTTACCGAACCTCTGTAGGTCCTGGTCTGGGAGCCGGATCAGGTCCTCCATGTCCCCAAAGAGCAGAAAGTATCCCAACAGGTCTAGAACATCTAAGTTATTATACAACCAAGGTCCATCCTGCGTAGGGAACCGAATCAGAACCAGAGGAAGTATAGATGATTAAGCAGAGAAAATGACAGCCGGTTCCGAAAGTCCGAACATCTCAGATCAGAGTTTGCTCCTAAAGTAGAGACGCTGATCCGGACTGAGCCTGACAACACGCACTGCTGTGAGAAACAGCGGCCTCTACAGGTAGAACCTGGGAAGGCACCCTTATAAAGAGGGGCGGTTCAGGAGATTCCAGACAGGAGGAATGCTGTAGTTCCTAGGTCTTCAACACAGGGGCGGAGCTAGATGGGGGGCCAGGAGTGGCCATACCCAATCTGCTGCCACCTCTACAGTTTTTCCACTCTAAAGGCTGATTTATACTTTTAAACTAGGTTGTCTGTGTAGGTGTCAGTGAACACAAAGAACACCTTTCCCAAATGACAGGTGACTGCAGACAATGCCGCAGACAGGAGGCCGACTTGTTTTGTTTATATGACTGCAATTGCAGAAAACAACTCGTGAAGTTGGACTAGGAGAGCGAGGTGCACGACCCTTTTTCCACCTGGATCCATGCTCTTTTTTGCCTTCATGTCCCTCCCTTGTCGGACAAACTTTCCCCTCTTCCTCACCGCCTCGGCCCTATCTAGACCCACAGTTAGTTCATAACATAGCGCAGACCACGCTTCAAAATTTTGCATAACTCAAAAATGTCTGCGTCAAGCTCACTGCGACACACTGCTGCTGGGAGTATAACAAACCCTTAATACAGATGGTGGCAGCAGTAATACTCTCAAGCGGAATATTCAATTATACACATCAATATACTAACATCAAAGATGATAAATACAGAATTCATGCTTTTTTCAGAACTAGATTTTGTGTTATATGGAGTAAAGAGAAGATGATGTGTCTCTGCAAGTCATCTGGGAGTCAATTTTAATAAAAACGTATCAAATAATCAATTTATGTAGATATTAGTGCTTGTAAATATCAATTTTATGAAGAATGTTTATTGATACAAGTAGGTAAGTAATGACGATGGAAAAGATTTACGCCCTGGATTTCAAATGATATCAAATATACCTTTTATTTAGAAAGCACGGATGTTTAAATATATGTGTAGGAAAGTCTAGTTTGTCTTTATTTAGAAAATATGGATGTTTTGCTTGTTAATTTAAAAATGATAAGTACAGAATTCTCTTTTCAGAACTAGATTTTGTGTTATATGGGGTAAAGAGAAAATGCAAGACATCTCGGAGTCTTCAGTTAAGTCATACATAAATATTTTAATAAAAACATATTAAATAATCAATTTATCCATTGAATGACTTTATTGATCTCACAGTGGAGAAATTTACTTTATGTAGATATTAGTACTTGAAAATATCAATTTTATGCAGAGTGATTATTGATAAAAGTAGGTAAGTAATGACAATGGAAAAGATGTTCACCCCAGAACTCACACCTGAAAGAATTGTATCCACTATACCATTTATCTAGGAAGCATGGATGGTTGAATATATGCATCTATTTATTAGCAAAGGCTGTAGGGGAGTATAGTTTGTCTTTATTTAGAAAATATGGATGTTTTGCTTGTTAATTTTCCTGTTGTATAGATTGACCCTAAGGCTCTAGTGCCAATCCACTTTCGGCCACCCCTCAGTGTACATTGGTTATTGCCTGGCCACCCTTATAAAAATTTCTGGCTACGCCTCTGTGTGGTCCTCGGCTCGATTCACCAATTCCAGCCTCAGTCCATCTCTTTAGAAGTTTCAAAAGTTCCTAAATGGATTGTATTCATCAGTGGTTGTTCAACCTTTTCATATCACGCCTTCCTTTCAACCAGTTTTCTATGAATTTATTAAATTATGGCACTATACATTCTCAGTATTTGACTGAGTTTGGGGGTTTTCATCTGTAGGCCAAACTCTTTAAAAAGCGCCATAATATTTTTACATTTTGAATCGAGTAAAAATATTGGACTTACAATATTCTAGTTTTTCCAAAATATATTGGACCCTTTAATAAGACCTTCGGTCATAAGACACTACTGTCATGTCCTCAGCAACCGATTATAAATAAGTCAACTAACACAACACAGATTCAATTTAATAATTGCACCACGCCACACAGTAATAAAGTTGTAAAAAAAAAAAAAAAAAAAAAAAAAAAAGAAGGGAGGTGGTGTTTTTTTTTTTTTTTGGAGGCATGCATAGCCCAATTGATATAGACTATTAACATAAAGCAATATGCATGGTGTGGTTGATGCATGTCAGGAAGGCCAGTCATTGACCTTGACCAAGGCATCTTACAGTAGAACTGCAGTCAGTCCCTGGACTGGCATGGCTATCATTACCCCTACATAGGGACAAATTTCCCACTGAGATCAGCTTCATAGTCATGGTAGGCTACTTCTTTGATTTTATTTATTTTACTCAGGCTACAAGTAAGGCCAAAGCCCACCTAATGTTGAAAGGGCAATATTATTGCCATTACCGCTTATGTATAGCAGAAATTTTACACATTCAGTAATAAAATTTCACAGGGGATGGTCATTTAAGAAGGGGGATGATTTTTAAGATTTTTTTTAAGAAGGGGGATGCCATCCCCATTCAACTGGAGTACTCACTCCACATATATAGACATGCATGTAAATTAGGGGTATCCTAATGTTTCAAAAAACCTTAACCCTTACACATGGAGGAGTGATTGTTTGCATCTGTGTATGCAACAAGACCAGTTCCTATTTTTTATTTATTCTATAACACTATCATCAGAAAAGTGGAGCCTTTTTTTTCTCCCTTGGAAAAAGAGCTACAAATATATAATACACACATTTTTAAATTATTTTGACTGCATATTAATTGAGCCAAAATTAAGAAGTATTGTTTTTACATTTCAGGGTTTGATTTAAACAGCACAGAGAATAGGTCAGTTGCTTGCATCTCTTTATTTCAACAGCAGGAAGTAGTGGTACAGTCAAACAAAACAGAAAATATATATTCACATAGAATATATATAATAAATTGTACATTTCTTACATTTCTTACTTTTTATGTTAAGAGGCTTTACATGACTAAAGTAAGGAAACAAAGTGTTTAATAGCGGTTCCTTTCGTACAATTACAACCATTAGCTTGCTGATCTTGATTTCAATGAGAGAAATTCAATGATGTATGGATATACTGTAATGGAAATTGTTGAATAAACCTTAGGTAATCTTTTTTAAGTCCAAAAAGGACTTTTAACTAATATAAATGGGAGATTTTGCAAAAACATTGATTGGAAAGAATAGGAACCCGTTAATATGTTGCATCTGCCTCAAGGCAAAGATCTACACACTGTCCGTTTGATTTAATGCGTTTTCTATACAAGAATAACAATGAAATCAGATCAGACAGCTTTTTTTTTACACTCAGGAGGCAAATTAATTTAAATAGCATTTCCAACCAGACTTAGACCGTTTCAAATTAAAATGCTCTCAAACAAAATAAAAATGTGGATCAAAACAACAGATTACTGAGAAAAATCAAATCTATCAACTAAAAACAACTTTAAGAGTTTGGATTTTTAAATTATCTGAATGAGCTTCTTTGCAAAAGAACAAAAAAAGAAACCAAAACTGAAACACTCCAGGGAAACTCATCCCCACCGAACACAACTGAACTAAAACAAGGCGACTTCGGTTACATGGACATCCACTGCTTTCAATCTGAGACTGTTTCAGCGCTCCGGGGGGGGGGGGGCTTTAAATACGTGCATGTATATGGATATGAATGTGCCTTGGAAACGCAGAGCACTGATCCATGCTCTATGGCTATGTGGATCGTTTCCAACAAGCCACTGCTACTCGGGGAGCTCCTTACACCAGCTGCCACTCGAAGGCAAACATGACGTTGACCACCTCCAGGCTGCGGGCGATTTCTTCCAGGATGCAATGCTGCTGCCACAGCTGGTTTAGCTTCCTGTAACGCTCCGTGCAAAGGTGCAGAGGATTGCCCCTTCTAGAAAATAAATCAAATATAACAGTTTAGAATGGATCCTTTATAATGCAGGATCTGTGATATTTGGTGAGGCTTGAAATCACGCAAAAAAAGGGACATTCTTTATTACAGAAGAAAATCTGTTAGAATGCTATAGCTAATGTTTGTTTGTTTTTCTAAAGTTCTTTAAAGCTTCTGCTTTGTGTTTGTATCTTTGTAATAATTTAATATCAAAAACGCTAATTTCTACAAGTGAACCAGGCTGGCTGAGGAAAATCCTGACATTACAAAGTTAGGTAGGAAAACATTTTGTCCCATTGTGTTTTTTTTTACTTACAAGCCATTGTGGTTTTTTTATAAATAGCCTATAGTTCAAATGTACCAGGGGATATTTAGTTAAAAAAATAAAAATAGTCTCCTTAGTGAATTTAAGTCTAAAAAAGCTACAAAAAAGAACATTTATAAAGGACAGATTTCAATTTACCTACAATCAAATTAATTTGCGCTGTTTGTCCTTTAGATGGCGCTAATTCCCCCAAATTCAAAGCATGGGGTAACAATGTTTTGCTACTTGCAAAAGGTCTATTTCAGTAACTGTTTAAATATAAAAAAAGTGAAGTTCTTATAAACAGACCTACCTTTACAGAGTTTTTAATTCAAATAATAAAATATTTGATAAATATTTTTAGGCTGAAGCGGTTTTAAGTAGAAAATATAGTGGAATGAGAAAAGTTTCCTTTATTTGTTTTTAGCTCACAATGTAGACAATAACAGAAATAACAATAATATAAAACATCTAAATCAGTGTGGCGGCTGATAAACACATTCAGTGTCTGATAATAGTTTTAAACTATTTTTTTTTTTTTTTACAAATTAGGTATGTTAAAACACTTCCTTCAAAGGTTAAAGAAAAACAAAATTATAACTATTGATGGGACTGTTTTCGAGTAATTTTGATTTGTTTTCGATGGAAGAAAAAGGTCAATATAGGTGAGGCACTGCATCCAGTCAGCAGCGGCTGCATCAGGTGCTGCAAAGCTGATTTTGATCTCACTGATCAGCAAGCAGCTTAATTGTGAAATCTTCACAAGTCACCAAAATAAAAGTCTAATTGTTTCTGTATTCTCAAATATAAAAGCAAACCTGCTGAAGATTTAAGAAAACAAGCAATCTTTGACTTTTTTCTTTTATCTATCAATGCAGAAGGGAAATTTTAAGCATTCTTGTTTTAAAAAACAACAACGATATATTGGAAAGAAACAACAAAATTACCATAGTTATTTATTTTATAGTTTTTTATTAATTATAATTGATAGAAGTATTTCAGGTTGACATATATATAATGGAGAACAAAATCTACAAATAGATTTTTTTCCCATCCCTTTTGGAGCTTTTGTATTTAGAAACAAAATGTTAGAAATCTAAAAGACCTTAAAGTGGTTAAAAGTAGAAATTATGCAGCAGCGTGAAAAGAATCGTTCTGTATCCTTACCCAAGATGAGGGTCAGTCTCCCCGTAATCATCGAGGTAAGGAGCAGGGTACGTGCTGCCTCTAGTCCTACTGGCCATCAGGACTATTTCACACTCTCTAATTCTGCAACGAACCACGCTTCATTTATTTTCAGCAGAGTGTTTTAAAAAGCACCAAGCAAATAATTAGACCAAAGACGTCAAAGTAGCAGGATCCAGCAGACCAACCTGAGGAACATGCCCACTCCGGCGCCGCACATAGCTGCGTGGGCCGTGCATGCTCCCACATCCTCCCCATCCAGCTGACTGAGGCAGCAGGAGCTCTGCGAACACAGCATGGCCCCACAAACCAGACACAGAGTTGGATGCTTCCTCTCATCAATTGTAGATTTTGGACACCTGAAAGAAGGCAAGTCAGAAGAGTCACACATCTGCAGCATGGAAACAAGATGAATAAAAAGGATTCAGCCGCCCTTACTGAAAATGGCTGGCTTTATTCAGGAGGGAGCTGTAATCCTCTGGAAGCTCAATCAACCGGTTCCTTATCCTCGGATATCTGCGAGGGGAGAAATGTTAACCAACTTATAGCAGATGATTTTAAATAAACACTATACCGAGTTGAGGCCGACCTGACGGTCTGGGTTTTCCCTTGCAAAGCTTTGGTGATAGAAGGGCTTCCACACCACCTGTGTAATAAGTTCAAATAATTTAGTAAACTATCTAGTGACTACCTGAAGCTGCAGCAGTATTATCAGTTACCTTTGAAGCAGAGGAGAAACCACATCTCTGTAGTCCTGGAAGAGCTGAAATATATTAAGGGGTAATGCCAAGTAGCCACACATCGCCTCCACCTGTCCTGGAGAGGTAACTACAACACAAAATTTCATCATCAATATGATACATTTCATTTAAACGGATGCAAATCCAGCAGTTCGACTTACCAGATGCATTTAAAAGCTCCTCTGGAGTATGTACCCCTGTAAGACAGTTGAAAAATAGTGCCGCACATCGCAGAAAAGGTTCAATTCCTGCCTTTATCCGTTGTGCCACAGAGCCACCGGACAGATCTGGAACCAGCCTGAGGAGCAGAGGAAAGAACAAGCATGAGAATTCCAAAAGTCCTGGACAATTGGAGAATAGTCAGAAAGGAAAAAGACTGCAAAAGGTGGACTTTAAAATAAAAACACAAAGCTCCAATATGTGCTTTAGAAGTAAAAGAATGCAGGAGAAGGATCAACACCTTCCAGTGTGCTGTGACACTGCTGTGTACAAGTCTGCTGCGGATCTCGCCTCTTCAGACTCCTCTCCATCTCCTGCAGCTGGAAAATCTGTGAACAAAATGATTGCAAACAATAAGTCACCATTGATGTGTGTTAATCTAGTTACAGCTTTCAGAACCACAGAGTTACCAGTTTGACTCTCCGGTTATTTTTTAACTTCTCGTGGTTCCCAACCGTTATGCTTATTAGTGATCCAATAAAAAGGATATCAGGGAATAGAACAACTTTTATTTTCATATGGAAGTTCAATTTAATTAGTAAATGAAGAATCTGCAATTGGCTTTTCTCTTGCACGTTTTAAAACATTAGTTGATTGTAGAGCTGTACGTTCCAGCCTATACACGACACCTACGTCAATGTACAAGTTGTGTCCTATGATTAGAGAAACAACTTTCTAACTTAAGTACCAAAGTTAGAATATTACCTCCTACTGGGAACCATCTCAGGACACACTAACCCACGCTTCCACTTGATCTCGGCCAGTCCTCATTTTGTTTTATTACTGGTAACCACACTCCCAGTTTGTTCTAGAGTCCATTTTGAAGTCCTTCTGTATGTTTTTAAAGGTCTTAACCAGGCCCCACCCTACTTGTTAGAGCTTCTTCACCACTACTTTCCATAAACATTTATTGGCCCTAAAGGCAGCTCTTTACAAGTTTTTCTTCTTAAAAATCATCCTGTTAAGATTTTTCTCTCACGCCACAGCTTCCTCCTTGCTCTAGTCTTTACTTTTGCTGTATGTTTGTCAATGAAAGTTTTGTTTATTTTGCATTTTTCCAGCCTTATTTTTTTACCCGGGAACAGCAAATGACACTTGCTCATGCAAACGTTTATAACTGCAAAAATCAGCTCAGTTAAAACTAAATGAAGCATTTCAAATATCCCATAATGTTCCAGGACAGCTCCCTTTCGGGGGTGTGAAGCTCAGGCTGCTCACCGCGCACGGCTCTCCGACTGTAAGCTGTTCCTTATGAGCATCATGCTATGTGGTTTACACGTCATTCATTAGATGCTACATTCTGAGACATTAAGGTGAATGGCATCGCTAATGTAGCCATAGACTGTAACATATCAAAATACCGAAATTGCATTTACACCTTTCATCAACATAATTGAATTATATTGATATATATAAATATATTGTTATTAAATTAATGTCCTATCTAAAATGATCTACTTTTGAACTGTTTTTTGGGTATTAATGTACTGATTTCACAATTTTCCCATTAGCTTACTAGTCTTAGGTTTGTTCTTAGTCATCAGTTAGCAGCCCTTGGGGGAAAAACGTCACTGGTAACTGGTTTGGTTTTTTTAAAGTTATAATGCATCTATATTTGCTGGTCATTACTTTTAGCCTAAGTTATAAGGAGCCATGATGGACAATCCAAAGAGACACTGATCACACCAAAAGCTATTTCTCAAAAAGATTAATCAAAACAGGAAAAATAAGGTGACTGTGTAGTCAAATTTCGTAAAAGTGTCATAAAATTACTTTGATAAATCAGTTAACGGCCTAAACTTGCAGTTATCTACAGTCAAAGCGATATTCAATAATTTCATCAGTTTAAAACAACTAGATCTGTGATAAATTAGACTGAACGAGAATCTGTGCTTTATCCTGCACCTCACATCCCAAACAGGATGCAAAGAAAGAGAAGAACATCCCTAAAACCCAATGATAATCATGTTATCCAACTGCCAAAACAAAGTAATTTAAAGTCTTAGGGAAGCGTTGCATTTCTGAATTCTACCGAGTGGTGCACGACTTTACACGGGTGAATAAAGTGAATGTGATTGGTCGTTTTTTAAGAGGGCAGGATTGTAGTGGCGGAAGGTTAGGAAGCAAGTTTGATTGTGGTCGATTTGTCGGAAGCATCTTGCTAACCAGTTAGCAACTTAGTGCTAGTAGGTTCCCAATGGAAAATGACATAGGGATCAAATAGCACTAAATTGGTGACTTAGAAACAACACTGTCAAGGAACGCTATGGACAGCGTGAAACATGCAAGAAGAGGAGAGTTTAGTGTTGGAGATCGTGGATGAGTCTCCTCAGTCATACATTTTTTATTTAGAGAAGGAAAGCGGGGACGAAGATGTTGAGGAAGCAGATGCCAGGGTGGCAGAAGCTTCATTTGATGTAGAAGGCTTACAGCCGTACATGTCTGAGCCCTTGCCTCGCAACGCCACCATTTCTGTTAGCTCTACGCCTGCCGAAGAAACAGACGTCCATCCTCGTGAACACTGGGACGGAACTCAATTGTAAAATAAATGATTCTTATTTCTTATTTCAACTGTTGCATATATTAGCTGCGACATATGAATCAAGATGCTGTGACCAAAAAGATTTGATTGACAGAGGACCGTTGATATATGATTGCCCGAATTTAGGTGTACAAGCTGACTTATAACTAACTGGCCTTCATAAGATAACAAAAAAAAAAAACAGATTTTAAGACAGGATTATTATTAAAAACAGAAATTTCCTAAATTCTAGGAAAATATCGTCTGATAAAGACTACATTTATATACATGTTTAAGCCAGAATGATTTGACATTTAATTGTATATTATATAAAGTCGTAGGGAAATATGATTTCCCTACGACTTTAACATCATTTTCTAGCACAGGATTTTTGTATAATGATGCTACCTGAGGAGGTGAGGAGGACCTGAAGAATGTGAGCCATGGTGACCAGGTGAAAGATGTACATGTTGTTGAAGGCGGAGCTTACAGCTGACGGCTGCAGGTCTATTCCCTCCTCCTGGTATAATGAAGGCATGGACAACACCAAGCCCACCTGGTAAGAGACACAAGGTTAAGGAATTTAAAACATCAAATTAGTTGCATTCATACTTTGGTTCTTAATGCCTTTTTACTCTTTTATTCAAAACATCTCCACCCTTTCATCTACGAAGACCGTTAGCTTTATTTTTGGGTAGCGAGGCATTGTTGTTTATTATATCTTTTAACAGGTCACCATCATGTGTTAAACAAAACTAAAGGTTATTTTACACGCATAATATGACCAGATGGTTATTTCTCAGACAAAAATATTTTAATATTTGAATCAGATTTTAAAATCAGAGAAAACAAACAATAAATAAGCCACAGCTGCCTCCTCGAGGGGACACCTACCAAAAGATGGAAAAAGTCCACATCTAGAATGGAGGGTGTGTTCTTCCTGCTCAGGACTGGTAGTAGCACTGAGGAGAGACAAAACAGCTGTGAAATAAAAGGTAAACTGCACAGTGAATGGATAAATTTACCGTTTACTATTCATCCTGTGGAATAGGAAACGGTAAATTTAGATAGTATTGTACTGAGAACCCAAAAAAGAAATATTTCCTGATTATAACCACAAGTCTAAACAAGCCAGGAATCTGTGAGCTGCGGTTTTATAATCAAACCAACCGGTCTTACCACAGCAGTGTTTATACACGTATTTTGATGTATTTGTATATCTTACAGGATCTTAGATATTTTTTAACAGATCTGCTGATTGCTTTTCCCTTACCATAGAAAGTCTCTCCTTCTAATCTGAATCTACCTGCATTAGTCTACATCTCCTTCAATGCTGCTCCAGTCACACTTGTGGTGCAAAACAAACATGTTATTTTAACATATTTGTCCAATTGTAGGCTTCTGAGTCTTTTTTTCAGAGCTTCTCTACACTTTGCTTGCCTATTTGTGATTTAGTACCAATTTTCACAGGGCAGAACAAGGAGATCACTCCACATCTGGTCACCAGCAGTGAAAAGCAGGGTGGGCAATGTTTCATGAACAGGGCTGGACAGTTGCAGTTTAGTATTTTTGCCCATAAATATGACCCGTTTGTCCTGAAAAGCGCCTTTAAATAACCTTTTTTTGTGGACTTACCTCCTATCATGTCTGCAAAGTGCCTCTGGATAACTCCCTGGGAGCTTTTAAGTCTCTGTGATGCTGCAAACTGGACAATGGCCTTGAGTCCTGCGATCTAAAAGAAATTTCAAGAACATTACAATATTGACATCTAGAATATAAATGTTTTATTTCAGCTTTTATTTTGTTTTATCGCACTTGTCTGTTTTGTAGAGATCCGAACAGTGGCTTGTCCTCTTCCTGCAGTATGTTTTCTATGAGGAAAATCAAACACACCCTGAGAAACGCACCCATGCAAAACATTGAACATGAAGCTAACCAATGTTAGTAGCCTACCTATTGCCTGGATAGTGAAGGCACATGTGTTCCAGGCCATGAGGGGCACCCGGGGGCAGAGCTCATTGGGGGCAGTCTTTAGTCCCACTCTGTGGACTGTAGTGGCACACACCACCAGCATTTCTGCGATTCCGTCAGAAAACTTTCTCCTAAGTAGCAAAACTAGAAAAGTCAGAGGGTCGTCATGGAAACAGAGGTAATCAATGGTACTTTGGATGGTTTAACTCACGGTTCTTGTACTCCATAGGCTAGAATGGACCTAAAGTCTGGTTGTCCGTCACCAAACAGCCCAGTTGTGCCGCTACTGCTGCTTCCACCATCTGGATTAAATTCTGAAAGATGTTATAGAAACAAAACAAAACAAAAAAAGAAAGCTGAAAAATATTTCTATAAACATACAAAAAAAGTCTCAACTTTGTTTCCTCTATTTGAAATTTAAACTTAGCTTTGGACTGAAACATTCCTGTTTTTAGTCAGTCAGGATCATCAACATTATTTCTACTGTCTAACATCTCAAACTCAGTGTGTAAAGTGGGGAACAGGAGGTACTGGGATTGAATCCAGATTCCTCCTGCCATATGTCAATGTTTCTCTTGGCAAAGCACCTAACTCCTAGTTACCTTCCAATCTTTTTATAAGAGTCTGAAAGTGAGTTCGACTGACCCTTTAAAGAAAAACACTGAGTGAATAATGAGTAAATATGACTAAAAAAGGCCCTAAAGAAATTCAGTCCATTTATTACATCTTAATTTCCCAATGCTTGACAGACAAACATAAGATCATCTCTCTGGTTCTTGTGCAGTTTTATTTATCTATTTTTGAAAGCAAATATATCTAAAAGGTTATAAATGTATAAACATTTTATAAACATGGCAAAATAATTGTCATAAGTTTGTACAGCATATTTTGTAGGCATTCTGAGGCATTATTGTGTTTGTATCTGTATCAAAATTATATATTTTCGAAACAAAAATTAAGAATTGTATGGTAATAAGTTTTAGCTATATCATACAGCACTAATATTTGGGTTTTATGTTCAAAAGATAAACAGGTTTTGGTGAAAAACCTAATGCTTTAAGATTATATGTGTTAGAGAGCTTCTGCATCTGAAGTAACTAGAGTTCCAGACCAACATTTGCAAAATGCTATAAAGGAAACAAAGAACTCTGATAAACTACCTCCAGTAACCTGCTTCTGAGAAGTGTGTGGAAGCAGAACCAAAATGTTTGACCCAAGTCACGAATCATGTAGTTTAAAAGTCGACTCTTAACCTCTCCTGCAAGCTGAATTCTTACTGTATTTGTTCGTTCACAAAGATAGAATCCATTTTACTCCACCACGACCAAGACCAACTCAAAAATGTAATTGTTAAGATTTGAGGAAAATATCTAGCTTCCGTCTCTGAAAAGCAGAGATATTAAAGTCGAACCCTAACAGTTCAGGACAGAACCTTATTTATTAGCTGGTCTTCTTACCATTGTCCTGCATGACAGACTTCAGTCCTTTAATCCTGGCGGCGAGGACCTGAATCCACCGGGGCAATGTCAAATGCTGTCCTATTATTTCTGCATTTTCACTGCAGAGAAAATTATTTTACACATTGTATGATCAACTGAACACTACAGATGGGCTTAATTTAGTCGGCCATTCTTACTAGTTGAATGTAAGTGGCTCTAAGGGGATGAGAGGGACCACTGTGTTGCATAGAGACTTGCACAAAGGACACAGGTACTCTCCGTTCTCCAGGTCGACGATGAGCTCAGCGTGGAGTCTGTTTCTGGTAGTGTTCTGAACTGCTTCAAAATATCTAAAAGGAATCAGAGAAGAAGAGTGAATTATGCAATAAAAACTAGAGACATTGTTCAAAAGAGAATTGTTGTCTTAAACAGGAAAAAAAAAAAAAAAGAGAAACCTTTTGACTTACTTCTGCCAACATGTAGCATGCATGACGTGTCCACAGCTGCCAGTGTGGGTCCCCACCGCGAGGTCAGGGGGCATGAAGAGGGGATAAGTCCCCGTTCCTTTGAGTGACAGAGACAATGAGGAAAACAGGGTGGGGTATTGCTTTTACAGCTGGACTGAAAGTATACAGGAAACTAACCATCAGCTGCGTTAGCTGGAATTCTTCCTCTGCACTGGGTCAATACGGTGGAACGCTGGACACAGGCTGTCAGCACCATGGCTGGGGCCAGAGGCAGCACCTCCTGCTCCTCCTGACAAAGTATGCAGGTGAGCACCTCCCTCTCAGCCGGGGAGGGTCCTCTGAGAGGTCCGAAGGCTATGCAGAGCTCTTTCTGCTCCATGGCAGAGCTAAAGAAATAACATTAAACCATTAGACTTCATTAGAAAAGCAAATACAGACACATAGGTTGCTTTTAGAAGTGTCCAGCTACCTTTCAGAAGGCCTCACAGGCTCACCCTGTGTTCCAGTGTCAGGCATGTTGTCATACAGCATCTTATTTGATTCAATGAAGTTTTTCTGCATTGCCGACATCTGGGCCATGATCTTTTGTCGGTGGAGCTTAGCTGCCTCTGCCTTTCGTTTCCGCTCAGCTTTTTCTTTGTCCTGGATGCTCTGAATTAACAAAATCAGTGAGGATTGGTGCTGTGCTATACAGCATTAGAATAATTTCCATTCCCTTAAAGGTTTCTTTCCTACCTCTTCTGGCCTGGTTGTGTCCATGCACACAGAAACTGAAGGACTGGACTTTTCTCTGAGGCACTTCACAATCTCAAACATCTGGAGGGGAAAAAATGAAGTATAAAGAAAATATTAGAGAGAAATCTGATCTAAACTGTGATGTTACTTTATCATTAAAGCACCTTCTTATTATTTATCATTACTTCTCATCACATTGCATGGCAGTAGAAAGCTAGTTTACCCTGCCTACCATTAAGCAGAGATATGTACTTAACAAATCTCTCCCCCAGTAGCTCTCTTTAGTTGCATACAAAGGCTTTCTAATAACTAAATAATCACCATTAGTACAGACAGCTGGAGTTTATATACATTTATCTTAACCTGATTACGTATATCATTTTTCCTATTTGTACTTTTTATAGGAATAGTATCTGAGTAATCCTCTTTACAGAAAAAGTGATAAAAAGTAAAGATGTATATGGAAAAAGGAGATTTTATTACCAGATAATTCTGAGGGACATCAGAATTTAAACCAGTAAAACGTTGTTATTCTCAAAATTGAAGAAGAACTATCAATCCAAATAAACTGATTCATGTCTATAAAATGAGCACTACAGAGTGCATTAATATGTTCAAATTAAGTTTCAATAAATTCTCCTTCATAATAAAAGGTTTTCCAACTGTATGACTTCTTTATTGCAATTGTCCATAAGAAGCAATTCTTCGTAATTTGCAGTCATTTTTGCCCCAGTCCTCCTAACAGAATTGGGTTAACTGGGTTAGATTTATAGAATGCATTGTTCACACATCTTCACAGCTTAACTTATACATTTTCTATAGGGCTGAAATCAGAGCTTTTTAACATCTACCTCAAAATACTGACCTATAACTAATTTAGTATCCAGAGGGTCCCTGAGCGTTAGAAGATCCAAACTTTAACTTCAGCATCTGCAGATGTTGCTTCCATGTTCTTTTCGTATGAAATGCTATTTAACAAGGTGAACCAGTACAGGGGCATAACGCCACTACCGTGTTACAATTTGAGGCAAGTTCTCATGTCTAAAAAATCCAGATATGATCTCTAAATGTTTTACATGCTCTAAATGCTCATCTCTGAATCCCTTTTCAGTGATGCAATTTAAAGCAGCAGGATGTCTGAGGTGCTCATCTGTTTAGACTCACATAACCACCGGGATTTCCTAAATTGTTTAAACGCTTCAAAACCAAAGTGTTTGTCAACTTTGCCTTTGAAGAAGTATTCTATATTTTTTTTTAGAATGGAAGTAACCTCAGCCCTTTTCATGCTTATACGGACTCAGAAATACGATCCTTAATGTGTGTGGGTTTAAATACCTGCAGAAGCCATTTGATCAAGTCTTTCTGAGCTTCAAGGGAAGGCAGAGACTTAATCTTGGACAGCAAGAGGAAGAGTGACTTGCCATTTTCTGAGCCAACTGCTGCAAAACAAAACAAAAAACATAAAAAATGGCTAAAAGTAGTCACTCTTGAGAACATGCATTTGGTCAGGGATGATGGAGCTTTCTCTCACCACGAGCTTTTAGGCTAAAGTCAAAGGTCACTTCCTCCACACTGCTGTTCTCCAGTTGGATCTTCTCTTCCACCAATGCTTGACCAATCAAATGCAGGGCCTGTAAGAAGAGGAAGTTAATTCTGGAGCTTCGACCAAACTCGGCAACAAGCATTAACTCATAAAAAGGCTGAATAATGACGTATTTTGCACCCTCTGGATCATGGCTTCGGTCCAGTGCGTTGACCGGTCATCCACGGGTCTCTGCAGAATGTGTCTCAGGATGTGGATGATAACATCACAGCAGAGAAGGTTCACAATCCTTGAGAAACTTGGAGAAAAGGCTGGTGGCACCGGAGGACGCAAAGCTGAGCAGAAACAGACTGTTATTGCCGCCGCTGAGATTCTAAACACATTCAAGCTTTTCATCATTCTGACATAAGTCACCTTTATCATTGCCTTCTTGAGATCTTCTCTTCTTTTGAGACTCTTCTGCCTGCAAACCGTGATAAAATATCATCAACCAAGAGCTTTTTTTTGTAGATCCACCTAATCGGAGACCGGGTTCTACCTTGCTGCGCTGAGATCTCGAGTAGTGGTAAAAGAAAGGGTTAAAGTCTATCAACCGTTCCTTTTTTAATTCATATAATCCATGCCCTGACACGCCTGGCTTCCTGAAAACAAAACAAACAAATTAGAGACGTCTTAATAAAGACATTTCCAAGTTTACAGGCTCCTTATTTCCCCACCTGAAAGTAGCAACTTTTGCAATCACTCCCTCCAGGCCTGTTTCATGATTTTCCTAAATAAAAGAATTACAAAAAAATATTTACCTGAAATGAAACCCATAAAATATTCAATCTAGGGCTGCAACAACGAATCGATAAAATCGCTAAAAATCGACTTTTAAAAGCGTTGGCAACGAATTTAATCATCGATTAGTTGTGTCGCGCGATTAATGCGTCATCCGCCGCCGCCGTCATCCCGGGGAAGAAAAAAAAATATGGCGGAGCGAGTCAGCGCCGCAGTTGCAGTGTTGCCAACTCAGCGACTTTTCAGACCCCTCCAGCGACTATTTTTTTTAAAAGCGACTAGCGACAAATCTGGCGACTTTTTACGGTGTCACTGGCGGCTTTTGGAGACTCTTACGTGAAAGCATGTATCGTTCCTACTCTTGTCCTCCAGCGGCAGCTGCTGCCGTGGGGCGCCTCCCCCATCCCAACGCCTTTCTCCCTCTCCCACAGGAATCCCTCTTAGCGCGGCAGTCAGAGCCGCAGGATTTTAGTGAGGAGTTTACCCTCAGCGTCCAGACTGCAAATGAAGCGTGCATGCCCCGGGATTGACGGCGCAAATTGATCACAATAATTAAAATAGCCTTTGTAAAGTAAAAAAGTCGTAACATGCGACTTTTGTAAAGACAAATAAACATGGCACGGAAGCACCACTGTTATGACGCAGCACCTGAAAAGAAAACATGTTGGAGCCTTCAATGGCAGTGAAGAGAGCTGATCAGCAGGATGAGTAACCATGTTTGTTTGGTTTTAAAGTGGGGAAACGTAACGTTAGTTTCTCAGGTAGCTCATCTGATGCTTTCCTTAGCTTGTTAGTAGGTTACAGACAGTGATAAGGTTGGCTACTTATTTTACTTTTAATTTCATTTGAATTAGCTTAAGCAGCGTTTATATTTTCTTTATAAATAAATTAACTTGCAAATTATGAGGGCAAGGCTTTTAAAGTTTAAATCTTCTGGCAAAGATAAAGTAAAGAAGATCCTGCAATTTATGGAAGTAAAGCAGAATAAAATCCAGCAAGATCAGTAATATGTCAATTAATTATCTGCCACATTCCCATGTAAATATCTGTCTTTGGAGGATGTGTTTTTTAGCACCCCTAGTTCTCTCATTTTTATTCCAAATACAATTTATAATTTGAATCACAGGGCTATTTTTATCTCTATGGTTCAGTATTTTCTCAAGTAGCAACTTTAACTGCTATACTTTCCTGTCTTAAAAGGCAGAACTCTTCTAGTCTAAAAAAAACTCATTTGTTGAAATGGGGGGGCCTATTGTTTGAACCCCTTAGAGGCTTTTAAAAACAAAAATGTCTTTTTTTGCGCTTTATGAAACAAAGTAGCCTATATTTTGTGGATGTACAGCTACATTTCTCATGTAAGTTTGCGTAGTTTTAAAACAAACATTGAATTTTTCATATAGCACCAGTACAGTTAATGAGCAACCTGTACTTGTGTGCTTGTTTGTTCTGTCTAAAATGTTTATTTTGGAATAAAGAGGTTAATATAAAAAAAATATTTTGTGTCCGATTCATCGATTAATCGAAAAAATAATCGGCCGATTCATCGATTTTCAAAATAATCGTTAGTTGCAGCCCTAATTCAATCGTTTAGAAACATTTCTTGAGGATTCATACATTCTCTGGTAGGCTTTTCACCAAAGTGCTGTGAGCCATGGGTTCAATGCACAGCAGGTGGATAACCTCCCTCATCGTCACTTCCTCTCTGGTGACCTGACTGATCCCAGGAACATAACGCTCGCCTGGGAGACAACATTAGTTCAGATAACTTCCCTTCGCTAAAACCATTCTAAAAGTTGGTCAAAGGGACATAAAGCTTTACCAAAGATGGCGATCAGCAGGAAGAGCATCTCCTCGGTCAAACGGTTCCACTGCGTCAACTCATCCTGCAGGTTTACAGCATAAAACAGATCAAGACATTTTTCAGGACGCTTTTGATGGTATAACATCTTCAGGTATGGAAAACTTACCTGGTCTTTGCTCACACGACATCCATTAAAGTATTCAAAAAGCTCAAATCTGAGCAATATCAGCATAAGGAAGTGGTTGGGATCCATTTTGGAAGCAGAAATCTGTTCAAATAAAAGGAAGAGCCAAGTTAAAAAGAAAAAGAAGAAATTGAGATTAAAATAAAAAAGGCTGACAGAGGCCCACCTGAAGCATGATGATATCTTTATCGTACATCTCGTCTCTGCATTTTACATCTTGATAGTAGTAGACCTGCTCAGCACCAAATGAATAAAACATTCTTTAAAGGAGGGAAAAGGTAAGAAAAAAAATGCCTTTGGACTAAAACATTAAGGGCTTACTTGGCTAACCAACGACAAGCCGTTTCTCCGCCACATTTCAGCTGTGACCTGAGCGGCGAGGACCACGCAGCGCAGAGGAAGCTCTGCGAGCTCAACAAAATCATAGCGTTCCTGCATAGGAAAAGAAAAGAAAAAAATATTCTATAGCCAGCATCACAGATGCATTATTCAGCTTAGCAGAAGGAATAAAGAAATGTCTCATGTACCGGATTATCCAAACGTTCAATTGCGCCGGTTTTCCACATAACTACATACAGACCTATGGATCACAAAACAGAATAATCAGGAACATGATCTTAAAAAAAAAAAAAAAAAACACACACACTGTCCACACAGGATTCCAGCCTTCCTACCTGCTAGCAGCCTGGAAATGGGCAGGTGTATGCTGACCGGCTCCTGAGACACTTTGTATGGACGAGCCCGCAGGATGTGCTTGCACATGTAGAAGTCCTTGGGCTCCTTATGGAAGGGCTGGTTGTTGCATTCGATCAGGGCAGCGTGGCAATCCTTAAACGCCTGCAGCATGATCTCCTCCTGAGGGGAAATCACAGCAGATAAAACATCTGTCTGAGAGGAATCGATTCCAACTAAAGTTCAAGCTTCATAAACAAGGTTTTATTTTTGTTTGCATAGTTTTAGAAGTTAAGTAATTAGGAGGAAAAAAAGGAGGGACTTCTAAATAGAAATAAGGAAAAATAAGCAAACAGAAAACCTACAAAGCCCGTAGTGACAGCAGCATGTATCATATGCAAAACAAGCTGAACTGTAAGAGCATTAGATGAATTTCCCTTTAATGAGAACTAATATCTTACATCAGAAGAGCACCAGTCCTGAAACATGGCAAGAATGTGACGGAGCTGGATCTGGAGTGTGAAACCAGCCTCCCATTCTGGCTCCACCGCGATATGTTGCCCGAGCTGCCGCTTCACTTCCTCCATACCCTGAACATTAAAACAAGGACGAGTTGGGAACCACTGACCAGATTTCACGGAACTATGTACCAATATTTAATGGGTTTGGGGTGGTTAGTACCTGCATGCATTTAAGAAAGCCCAGAAAGATCCTGAATCCTGCCAGGAACTGTCCTCGCATTTCCTCTGTCCACACAGACGGCTTACTAATCAGAATGTACCTGAGAAGCAGAGGATTAATTGAACCTTAGATTAAGATTCAAAAGTTCAGGATCTAATAATCTGTTATTGCCAGTTACCTGAGGTCATGGAAGATGACCTGGATCCGAGTAAACTTGTCTGAATTGTAGCCCAGGAAGAAAAAGCGGTTGTTGTCATCCAAATGTTCCCGCAGCAGCTCCAGGACTGTGTCAACGATCACTTTAATGACATTGCATTCTTCAATGAGCTGTCTGGCCTGAAGGAAAAAAGAAATATATATATATGAATAAAAGATTTTACTTTCAGATTCAGCTCAAGAAATGTGAATCTTCAGAAAACAAAACTCGTCATATAAAGTGAATAACACGGAAATAAATGTTTTAGGGCTTCTTGTAATTACGATAATTGTAGCTCACAAACTAAGACAATTCTTAATTCAGCAGCTCAAAAAAAATTTCATTTTGCAAAAAAAGTTAAATGTTAAAAACTCATTGCATTGCAATTCTTTGTGAAAGGTTAAGTGGAAGGAAGATGTGTGGTAGGAAAAGGTGCACAAGCACCAGCATAACTGCAGCATTGAGAGGACTGTCGGGCATTTGCTATTGAAGAATTAGGGGGAACTTAATTGATTGCTGATCTAAGCTCCTGATATTTTGGGGATAATTCTTAAGAGTTGATGTTGCTTTCTTGTTTTACATGATAAAAAAAAGACAATTATAAAAGCTAATACAAATTCTCAAACAGAAACGAAATCAGATACAAAGCAAACTCAACATTAACAACAGATAGTGAATGACATGGCTGTTGAATACACTAATGCAATGGTTTTTAAACAATTATTGCTGAGTCTATGGAGCTAAATTGTGGCCATTAAGTTTGTTTTTCTAAAAAAAATCTTAACCTGAAAAAAAAATAAGTTTAATCAAAAATTGAAATTTAAAAATGGAAAAAAGTTTGTTCGAAAGAAAAGTATTTTTTAGATTCAAAGTTGTTGTTTTTTTGTAAACTTTTGCAAAGCATTTTGTGGGTGGGCCGGGTCTCAGAAGACACGGGCTGAAACATCTATTCCCCGCTGTTGCATTCAGGGACCATGGGAACTGGAACTGTCTTTAAATTAATCAATATTCTATGTGTATGTGTCTGGTTTTGAAACATACACTATATTGCCAAAAGTATTTGCTCACCTGCCTTGACTCACATATGAGCTTAAGTGACATCCCGTTCCTAATCCATAGGGTTCAATATGACGTCGGTCCACCCTTTGCAGCTAGAACAGCTTCAACTCTTCTGGGAAGGCTGTCCACAAGGTTTAGGAGTGTGTTTATGGGAATTTTTGACCATTCTTCCAGAAGCGCATTTGTGAGGTCGCACACTGATATTGGACGAGAAGGCCTGGCTCTCAGTCTCCGCTCTAATTCATCCCAAAGGTGTTCTATCGGGTTGAGGTCAGGACTCTGTGCAGGCCAGTCAAGTTCATCCACACCAGACTCTGTCATCCATGTCTTTATGGACCTTGCTTTGTGCACTGGTGCACAGTCATGTTGGAAGAGGAAGGGGCCAGCTCCAAACTGTTCCCACAAAGTTGGGAGCATGGAATTGTCCAAAATGTCTTGGTATGCTGAAGCATTCAGAGTTCCTTTCACTGGAACTAAGGGGCCAAGCCCAGCTCCTGAAAAACAACCCCACACCATAATCCCCCCTCCACCAAACTTTACACTTGGCACAATGCAGTCAGACAAGTACCGTTCTCCTGGCAACCGCCAAACCCAGACCCGTCCATCAGATTGCCAGATGGAGAAGCGCGATTCGTCACTCCAGAGAACGCGTCTCCACTGCTCTAGAGTCCAGTGGCGGCGTGCTTTACACCACCGCATCCGACGCTTTGCATTGCACTTGGTGATGTATGGCTTGGATGCAGCTGCTCGACCATGGAAACCCATTCCATGAAGCTCTCTGCGCACTGTTCTTGAGCTAATCTGAAGGCCACATGAAGTTTGGAGGTCTGTAGTGATTGACTCTGCAGAAAGTTGGCGACCTCTTCGCACTATGCGCGTCAGCATCCGCTGACCCCGCTCCGTCAGTTTACGTGGCCTACCACTTCGTGGCTGAGTTGCTGTCGTTCCCAAACACTTCCATTTTCTTATAATACAGCTGACAGTTGACTGTGGAATATTTAGGAGCGAGGAAATTTCACGACTGGATTTGTTGCACAGGTGGCATCCTATCACAGTTCCACGCTGGAATTCACTGAGCTCCTGAGAGCGACCCATTCTTTCACAAATGTTTGTAAAAACAGTCTGCATGCCTAGGTGCTTGAATTTATACACCTGTGGCCATGGAAGTGATTGGAACACCTGATTCCAATAATTTGGATGGGTGAGCAAATACTTTTGGCAATATAGTGTAGCATGCTTCACCAATAGAAGTCCCTTACATGAATACATGACATGAATCTCAGAGTATAAACTACGATCTTAACAGATTTGCCCATCTTAAGTCCATGTTGGACATTTTTCCCATGCTTTCAGTTTGAAGGCAAAAAAAATTAAAAAAAAATTTGCAAGTTCGAAAACAAAAGACTTGAATCTGAAAAGTATTTTTCCTTTAGAACAAATTTTAATTTCCAGGTTAAATTTCTTTTGAACAAACTGTTTGTTTCCCTCCATCATGACCCCTCCCCCCACACGCTCCTCTGTCTAACTGCATGCTCTACAGATTGTATGACGAAGCAGGCATCCACCTCCCCCGACTCAGAAAAAGGAACTCACTAATGTGGGAACGGTGAAGATCTGAACAGACAGAGCAGTGATGGATATACTCCTTTCATGATCGTCACTGATGAAGTCCTTCTGCAGCTGTTTGTAGTACTATTAAAAAAAGTAAACATGATAGAATAAGTATTTATACCTTTGAAAATAAAGCCAGTTGAGGTTGTTCCTGTTTACTCACCTTTGTAAACTCGACTGCAAAAAGCCTCTTGAATTCAGAATCCATCAGCATGCTACAGAAAATCAGCTCATGTACTATCTTACGAGCTCCTATAGACAATAAAAAGGACCAAATTTAGGATCGAACATTTATTTATTAATGATCCAACTATCATACATGAAAATCAGACTTAGCTTACCTTTGTACATCTGTGCATCGTGCAGCATAAGTCTGCTGATAAGACAAGGGCGATCTGTGTCTGCGTTTGGCTCTAATGCCACCTGGCAGAATGCCAGTCTGAAGCCCACTGCACAGAGCAAACACCAAACATGTCAGAACAAACCCAAGCTGCAAACATGGAGACTCAGGTTAAAGATAGATGAACACAACGGCTGCAGCACCTGAGTAACCAATGACCTTCTGGAACCAGTTGCCGAGGCGGAGGGCAAAAGTCTGATGAGCCATCACTGTTGCATGAAGGATCTCCACACGTAGAGGCTGCAGGGAGATGTGCTCGGAGCTGGACTGCAATGCAGCACAGAAAGGGTTGCAACTCTTCTCACTTTGTAAATTATCAGAAATATCAACTAATATCAGGAATGAGAAGACAAAGTTTACCCTAATAAGGTCTTTTGCTTGCTGGCAGGAGCGGAGTGTTCCTCTCTTCACAGCCCGCCGGCCCTGTTAGGCATTTAAACATAGATAAGCAACTCTGGATGCTGCATAAATACAACTACTCCAGCTACATAACAGATTCTAAAATAGTGTAGTCTTTATCAACACTGGATATTTCACCAAACAAAAAGTGAGATCAAGTCTTATATCTTTATAAACATTTAGGATGTTGTATAGCTCCTCCATTTCATAAATGTCCAACTTTTCTTGGGTTGAAAAAATTTGCAAACTTATACCCAATTTTGTCCTTATCCTAAATATAAAAACAGCAAAATTTTATTTCATTACATTGAATATAACAAGCCGTATTGTAATAATACGTTTGATCAATTCCATACACTTCCTTTTTCAAAAATGTTCTTTACTCAAAAAAAAAAAAACATTTTATCAAGAATGGTAAAGAATAGTCAAAAATTATTGTAATTTTTTTTTTAGATGAGGCAAAGAAGCTCATAATTTGTTTGAAAAGTATTTAAAAGACTTGGGGATAAGAAATTAGGAAAAAATTACCATTAATCAAAAATGTATGTGAAAAAGAAACGACTATTTTTCTATCAATATGCTCAAATCCAGAACTTATCAAATGGAAGCGTTTTAGTTTCAACTGGTTTAATTCTGTAAAAAAAAAAATCTTCTTAAAGGAACCTTTTGCTATCTGGTTATTAATCTATAAAATAATCAACAGATTAATAAATTAGCAAAATAATCGTTAGTCACGGCCCTAATTGTATTTTTATTCTAATCATCAAAACTGCAAGGAAAAACCTATTTTCAAAGTGAGCATACTTCTTCCATTAATAAATGCTAACCTCCATTTCTTTATAGAATGTCTAAATTCTGCATTAAACTTTCTTTTTCTTGGAGGTAGATGCTTAATCAGGTTGGTTTTTCAATAATCAAATCTGCATTTTCAGTCTTACTCACTAAAATGAACAATTTATACAGGTTTATTCATTTCGGTTATGAAGTGGGCTGGCGTAAAAAACACCTACAGGGCAGAGGGTGCCCCACGGGTCGGTCATATTGTTTTTTCAGATCTGATTGCATGGCTTTAATAATTCTCAGTATATTCAAAATTTGGCTTGGCTTGAAAATAAAAAAAAAGGAAAAGTGATGATGACATAAAGCTGAAGATCTCTCTGTCTTTACCTCTTTGTCGATGAGAGTTGTGTGTGTTTGAGCTTCAATCTGATCACAGTTAACCGATCGCTGCAGGGTGTAGATCACCTGGTCGTAGGAGTGATGCTCATCGTTGTAAAGCACACAGTAGTATGCGTTGTCTTTAATCCTGCATTCATATAAAACTGTCAAAGCCCATCTCATGTGGGGTAATTTTGTTGCTTTGGTTTCCCCGTTTAGAGGCGTGACCCTACCGGGGCTGGAGTTCAGCTGAGAGCTCAAAGTTTTCCTCCCACACCAGGAAGTCGGTGACGTAGCGCAGAAGGACCCGAAACAATTTCTCAGCACGCTCGTACAACTCTGGCTCCAAAACGGATTCGTCCTGCACAAAACAAAAGAGGTACAGAGTGCTATAACGCCAAACATTTTTCAACACTTTCTAAAACTTCAAGCTTTTTCAATACATAGAAACGAGATACAATCATTCCCCTGCAACCATATAAAGACTTGCTTTAAAATGCCAAAAATGCAACCTAAAATATTTCCCATTTCCTGTGACGGAGGCTGGGAGTCAATACCGAGACCCTGAGCTGCTCAACAGATTCTCCTAATGAGCAGAGAGAGACATCTGGTCATCTAACATAAACACCACTCCACTGGGAACAAACAAACGCCACAAAAACTAATTTATCATCCTACAGAAACCACAAACATGGAGTGATTGGGTGGATTTTTCCATACAGGGAGATTAAATCGGATAATACTTAATGCTTTATAGGCTTCTTTTGGTTTATAATATTGGAGAGAAACTTAAAAGAAAAAAATAAATATATCAGCCAAGATATCAGGATGATTATTTGTAGATCTGCACTTCTGCCTCATTGCTGGATTTCCATAAATCTGAGGTTACCACACTCATCTTTTCCAAACCTTCTGCATATTGAGGCCGACACAGGTTCAGTGGTTCAGAAATAAAAGTTTTTTGTTGAGATAAAACTCCAGCATGACCAATAAAGACCCAGTGAAGACACTGGCTTAAGCTTGTGAGAGAGCCCGGTTTATTTTGGTCATTGAGGATAAACAGACCATACAAGTAAAACTTAGGGGAATCCTGAGCCGACATTTATACCATAAAGACTCCGATATCAGCTGATAAGTTCATATTGGAACATATATCAGCATTGCACTAAAATGTTAGAAAGCCCACAGAAACACTTTGCTTCTATTGAAGTTTATGTAACTCTTTGGTGAGTTGGAAATGGACCAGTTGTTCTCACACCTTATGTTGTTAATGTTCTCTGTTTAATATCACTTGATCAAGCCTTACCCATCATCCACACTGTGAAATAAGTAATTAAAGTAGGTATGATTCATTCTGGTATCGTATTGGGTTAATATCAATATCCATTAAAAGTGGAAATGTGTATCTGGACATCCAAAGCAGCAGCATCATGTTGTGAAGGTGTTTATCTCCAGGGGGAACTGCTGTATAGTGTTATTAGGAAAAGGACATTTGGAAATGTTGAAGCAAATACTCAAGACATCAGCAAAAACTTTCAGCACAGACTGGGACTACAAATGGCCAAGAAACTCTAGTTTAATAGGAAAGTGGATTAAGGAGAATTAAAGAGGAGAGGAGGATGTTCTTTTCCCAGGTGGATCATCAAAATAAGTGGTCGTCCTAACTGATATGTTTTACATAAGGCCGTCCTACGTGCTCGTCCCCATTTTCTTACTGGTGTCTGACATAGTGGAAAAATTGAAAATCTTTTGGAAAGTAAGCCTGTATGAACGATGCAAACAGCAACTTTTAAACTAAATTTTAAAGGAGAATTGGGCTTGTGCACGCTCTTACACACGTTTAATAGATGTTCCCTCTCGGGAGCAGGCACAGGTTTGTGCATGTGCATTTCTGTTTTTGCTTTTTTTGTTTTTTTTAAGTGGAGAGGGCAGGTCTTCGAAAAAATTTGCGAAAATCCTCCACTATACCTTTAAAAATGACATAAAGCCCTGATGTCTGTAATCTTAACTGACTTAAAACGAGAAACATCAGCTTAATTTGATTAAATAGGGATATTTGCATTTTAGAACTGAGAATGTAAATATCTGGTTTAAACTACATCAAGAAAGAAAGATAGCTTATCTTGTTCACAGCAGACATGCTGTGCTGCCTATGTGAATGCTCATTAAGCACAGGTTCAGGTCTGGTACGGCAAACACAAAGCAGGCTGTCAGAGAGGCGCCGGATGTGTTAATGGGACCACCTGCTGTTTATGGAAAAGAAAAGAAAAAGGCAGAGTCGCCCCACTGTGTGCCTGCCTGCTCACAACCCCATAGCGCGATCTTATCAGAGCAGAGCCTGAACATGGTGATCAGCAAACATCCACAGAGAGCCACACAGAATGTATCCCTGCACAGTTTGGCTCCGCTCCTCTCACAGGCAACCGTCTTCCACTGTTTTATTGTTTTAGGAAGACAAAAAGTTCCTCCTGTGAATTCTCTGCCGATGGTCGGCAGAACCAATTGTACGTCAGCATCCTTTAAGATGATAGGAATATATAAAGAATGGGACCAGCACACTATCAACACATCCCTGTTGCGTAACGTACCGTTACCATAGCAGCGGCAGACCCCGGGTCGTGTTTGGAGCAACACGGGCCAATCTTCCAGGCTTCCACATCGCCACAGTCACAGAACCCCCCACCTGATGACGCGTGCATCTGGAGAAGGAAACAAAGCCAAACAAAACGAGTCATCAGGGGAAGAGATGATGGATATGCACAACAGTAATTAAGTTAGATGGTCTGTGGGAAACCAGTGCCAAACAGTTGCTGTTTAGTGAGTTCACATAGTCACTAAACAGATGACAAGGCCTTAGAAGTCATGTCCAGATGTAAATATTTACATCCACACCAACCTTGTAACGATGGCTTTTGTGCACGCTGTCTTGGAAGCAGTCCATGCAAAGCACGCAGGTGGGATCGATTGCGCAGTCCCTGAAATGATGAACATGAAGCTAAAAAGTGAAATAATGAAACTCTTGGCTCAAGCTCAGCTCTGTTACTCACACTTTGTCTCACATTAAAACATTTAGATTTGCCAAACAGTTCCAGCCTCACAAAAAAAAAAAAAATTATAATCAACTGTTAAACACATACAAAATGTATGTTATTCTTTAAACATCATGACATAAAAACTACATTTATATTTGGAGAAAAATTACCACATTTTCACGCAAGATGATAGAAAATGTATGTATTTTATTCCTTCATTGTCCCCTCACTACCACACACCGGCTCACTGCTGGAACCTGACAGAGACAACTCATCATTTATTCTTACCATTCTGCCTAGAGCGGCATTGCAAACGCATTAGGCGTTTTTTTTCCTTTCTAAATACTGCAATCAAAATGGACTGCTTGCATTCAATATCATAGCTGAAGTGCTATGCATTGCCTATTGGAACCGTTTTCCCCATGCCCAGCATCCACACCTATTCTTATTTTAATGGCTGAAACTGTGGTTAGGGTAACAAAGCAAAGAAAGGCTGGGAAGAGGGACTGAATCATGGTTTATAGTGGGATGCAACATTCAGCTTTTAAAATCTATGGTTTCCTTTTATCCTGCAGCTTTAATGTCTGTCTTTCTGTAGCCTAGTTAGAGTCCAGTCAAGGTAAAAATTTCTTCAGTCCACCATATATTTTTGTGGTTGAACCTCTTTTGTTTTTTTACACTTCAGACAACTTATGCTTAACTAGTGTATCAAACCAAAACAACCGTTTAAGCCCTGATGTTTGCTACCAAGATAACTAGAATGGGAAATGAAATGTTTGTATTTTTGTAACCAAATCTGGACGTATAAAATGCAACAGGACAGGCGACCCGACCTGCAGGAGTAAACAGTCTCTCCCTCCTTAAACACACGGCCACAGAGCTGAGAGGAGGTGCTGCCTTGCTTGAGCTTCTCCAGACCATCTTGAGGATCCTCTCCGAACAGAAAGCACTCCAGAGGGTGGAGGAGTCGCCTCTGCATGAGCTCCTCTTCTTCCTGAGGGCTGAGGTCCTTCTTCAGGCAGAAGATCTGGGGCACCTGGTCCTTCAGGTGCTGGAGCAGCTCCGCCCTGTAGTCTGCCGCCTCCAGCCATTCCTTTAGGGACAACAAAGAGGAAAAAAAAAAAAACGCCCTGTTGAATATTGATACAAAACCATGTGAACCCTTTAGAAAAAAAACAGAGAGTACACATTCACTTTTAGATGGACATCAAAATAATTTATCAACTGAAGTTAAAATACCTTTCAGCTTTTACAATCACTTCTGTTGAAGGTGGCTTCAGTTTAACAAAATTCACAGCCAATTTTCCTGTTTTCGTGTCAAAGTTTTGCAGTAATCTCTACTGATGTTAAACGCTTATAAATGTAATGTGTATAAATCTCAGACGGGATGGAAGGATGATGAATATATATATATATATATATATAGAAGAACGGACAAACAACTGGATGATCAGGAAATGGCTGCAGGAATATCTGATGTATAGCCATGAGAAGAATTGATTTATGGAAATACAGACATTTAAATTCTTAATTATACACTTTTCTTTGTTAAACAATCAGCTGTGATCTATAACAGCCAAAAGGGATGCATTATTTTCATAACTATAACTTGGGATCTTTACAGATTAAATACCAAAGGTCTGTTTGGATGCACTGTTTGGCAAGTTAGACCACTCAATCAATCCTGCATTAAAAATCTGCTTTCTAGGAATCTATCTATCTTGGATGGGCATCTCCTATCCACAGATGACAGCTCTTCTGAGAATTAGAAACCAAAGTAATAAAGTAGAGCAAAAAATACCAAAACAAATGTCCTACAGTCATTAATTTTATTAATCACACATTTATATTAATTCATTTTCGGTCTCAATTTATGGAAAAACAGACCTGGGGATCTTTAGCTGTAGTTTAAACCAATCATCACATGGACAAGAGATTATTTTAAATAAGTTTAAAAGTAACATAGGAGTTGGTTCAAAGCACAGAAGTCTGACTTATACAGAAATTTCTGATCTGGTGAGATTTTATTGCCCAACTATCACTAACACCTTTTGAAAAAAGGGTCCAGAAAAAAAGAAAATATCTAGTAAGAGACAGTTTTAGGAGTGAAATACATTTGATAACAGAAGGAAAGCACTGTGGACAGGTCAGCATTCACAGGAAAGTCAAACCTAACAGTCATATTTTTCCTTAATCAAACACCACACGTGTTTTCTTGTTGTTTTATGTATAAAAACTATTATGCCCAAAGTGATGCATGCAGTGTGAAGATCATCAGATCCTTATCAAAAACACTGTTTTATTAAATCAACGCCCCTTGGCAGGACTCTCAAACTGAATCTAGATAGTTATAAAAAAAAAGCAGCCGGATCTGTTTTACTTTCACCTTAAAGAGATAGCTAGAACAATGTAGAAAAGCAGCCCTAGTGTCAAACCGCAAACAACAACACAAACCAAACTGACACAGATTTTTATAAGCAGATCAGACCAATGCTGCTCTAAAACTAAAGATGAGCCTCATATTTAAACAGAAACAAAATAATACTTTAGCCATAAATACATTAAAATAAACTAGTTATGGGGCATTCAATCTAAAACAAATGACTAATCGTGGTGCAAACCTATTCCCATATGTCAATAAACACGCGAAGGTTTAATTGGAGGCTCTGAGGCTAGTTGGTGGTTAGCCTGCAAGCTCTGTTAGCTTAGTCGGAACGGTGATGTCCGACAAAGAAATAAGACGGTTTTATTCACAGAAATCTTCCCGGTGCAGTCCACAATAACCCATCAGACTGCGGGTCAGCTGTCAGCTCAATATAAACTCAGAACATCTTACCTGACTGAGCTGAAGCCCATCTGACGGCTTCTCCGTGTCCGCCATGTTCCGCTGCTGTTCACGGAGCGTACGTCACAGAGGGGACCTTCCTGTGGCCAAAAACACCTCTGGAAAAGAAAACAATCATAATTTCTTCTTCTTCTTCTTCTTATGAGATTTTATGGCGGTTGGCAAACTTGTGAAATGTGCATTACCGCCACCAACTGATATGGAGTAAAGCAAGGAAACAGGAAACGATTCACCCCCCCCAAAAAAAAAAAAAAAAAAAAAAAAAATACAATAAAATAACCTGTGTAACTTAAACCCACATAATACTAAATTATACTAAATTACATTTGCCCGTATAATTTTAATTTACTCTAGGTCATCGTACCTCTGCCAGTTTCTGATGGTCCCATTGGTCTTACCATCATGCTTCCAACCATCTCCCAGTTCATATCTTTAACATCCAGATATTTTTCTGCAGCCTTCACTATTATTTTGATTTTTTCTGTTTTTTTTGTCGTCTGAGCAGTACAATTAATCACTTCCACCATGAAAAGAACAAAATTTGTCTTTTTAACAATTAGTGAGTCTTCATCAATTTTTGGAGATTTCTCTAGAGGTTTGAAATTTGCCGTGTGTTGAACTGTAGGTTTGGGTTTTTCTGACTGAGATGGGATCCTTTTTGCAGCTTCAGCATAAGTTATTCCAAGCTCAAATTTCATTTTTTTTATTTCTTCAGACCTTTTGCTTGCTTCACAGCCGCGATAAGCAGCAGTATGTTCTCCACCACAATTACAGCATTTTATTTTAGCTTCTTTTCCACATTTACCATATTCATGTTCTCCTGCACACCTTCCACACCTCTGTTTCCCTTTACAAACTGCTGCAATGTGTCCGAATTTTTGACATTTGAAACATCTCAATGGTGGTGGATTGTAGATTTTGACATTGTAACTGATGTAACCGATGAATACTTTGCTTGGTAATTGCTCTTCCTCGAATTTAATTAGTACAGATAAACTGTCAGATCTTTCTCCGTTTCTTGTTGTTTTTAACCGTTTTACTTCTTTTACTTTTGCACCGCTTATGTTTTCCAGAATCTCTTTTTCAGAAATTTTCAGAGGAACTCCTCCAATGACTCCCCTGCTGATCTTTTTGTTCTCCATTAGGCTGCACTGAACTCTTATCCCGTCAATTTTGTTAATACGTATTATCATAATTTCTTTAATGAACTGACACATTTTCTACGGAACAGGATTAGGGCCAATGAAAAAAATAAAACAGTTTACTGATTTTTAAATTTACTTTCAGTATAATGAGGTTAAAGTCAGAATTCTGACTTTATTCTCACAATTCGGATTTTAATCTCAGAATTCTGACTTTAATCTCAGAATTCTGACTGTATTCTGACAGCTAACATACATCTTAGCATCAAGCCGTTGCCATGTCTGCTTAAAGACTAAACTAGCTCTTTTGTTTTAATCGCCTACTGCCCTTCCAATATTTAAATGCCATCACGTAAAAAGTCGTCTAATTCCACAATTTTCCACCAATGTGTTACTGGCCCTCCCAAACAACTCACATCTTCCTTCCTGCAGTTTTTTTGGATTGCTTAAGCACGATTTTCAAAACAGGGCCCATGTTTTCAAAACACTATACACAATTAGCACAACCACACACCCAATTAGCAAAACACTACAGATCCTTTGCATAATTAAACACTCTTGTAAAAACTATACACTTCTGTTTAAAAACCACACTTTGTTACCATATGAAACACACACGTTTCACATTACTATACTCTGTTTGCAGGAGTTACACTCTGCTATGATAAACCTAAAACACTTTTAGCACTTCTACTTCCCTATGGTTAGAGTTGGCTACCATCAACAAAGTACAAATATAATGTAAATTCACCAAACACTACACAAGACCAATGTTGCAGACTGAAGAAACTCATTTATTTCTCAACACGCCCAAAATGTTGACATGGAGATTCATAATACTGTAACAAAATGTCACTTTACGTATTGTACTGTAATTTTACTGTAAAAAACAAAACAAAACAAAAACTAGACATTGGGCCTGTTTCAATAAGGAAGTTCAACCAACTCTGAGTTAAAACTTGAACTCTGAGTTGACTTATCCTGAGATTGGAAACTCTGAGTTTTGGGTTTCAGAACAGCTGAAATGAGTTAGTTCAATCAACTCTAAATTGACTGACTCTGAGTTAAGCGCGTGCACCACAACTATAAAAAGCCATTATCAATGGAGCACAGATATCACGAGTCACCCTGGCAACAGCGTCAGACAAAAAAAGGTGTGCATATTTCTCACCAGCAGAACTGGATGTGCTTATGCAAGCATATGCAGAATTTGAACATGTATTTTTTTTAAAAGCAACACGGCTGCAGCGGCGAAGGAGAGAGAGTTAGCTAGGGTGAAAATAGCTGCTCGAGTCAATGCGTAAATTTACATTTTAATTACTTTTATACAGTGTTGGGTGTAATGAATTAAGTTACTTAAGTCATATAAATACTGTAATTAAATTAAAGACTATAAAACAATAGTGGATTTAATATCAAATTTTAAAAGGTATATTTTGATTTGAACTTTCTCCCTCTAGTTACACACCTTGGTCAATTTAAGATTAATTCATGCAATTGAATATTGTTTATTTGAAAGCATTAGAAGTGCAGTTTCTTGTCTCTCCTTGTATTGTTCAGGTGGTTGAGGTTGATTTGGGATTTAGAAAGTAATTAATAAGTAAGTAAAACAAATTAGTAAGTAGACCAATACTTTCTAGAGACAGTAATTATTACATTAATCTAATTAGACTTGTTGAAGATAAAATTTGTAGTTAGTAATTAAGAACTATTTTAGAGTAACTTACCCAACTGTTATAATACAGGTGCTGGTCATAAAATTAGAATATCATGAAAAAGTAGATTGATTTCAGTAATTCCATTTAAAAAGTGAAACTTGTATATTATATTCATACATTACATACAAACTCATATATTTCAGATGTTTATTTTGTTTAATTTTGATGATTACAAATGACAACAAATGAAAATCTCAAATTCATCATATCAGAAAATTAGAATATTACTGAAGACCAATAAAAACAAAGGATTTATAGAAATGTTGGCCAACTGAAAAGTATGAACATGAAAAGTATGAGCATGTACAGCACTCAGTATTTAGTTGGGCCTCCTTTGGCCTGTATTACTGCAGCAATGCGGCGTGGCATGGAGTCGATCAGTCTGTGGCACTGCTCAGGTGTTATGATAGTCCAGGTTGCTCTAATAGTGGCTTTTAGCTCTTCTGAATTGTTGGGTCTGGTGTATTGCATCTTCTTCTTCACAATAACCCATAGATTTTCTATGGGGTTAAGGTCAGGAGAGTTTGCTGGCCAATTAAGAACAGGGATACCATGGTCCTTCAACCAGGTACTGGTAGCTTTGGCACTGTGTGCAGGTGCCAAGTCCTGTTGGAAAATGAAATCTGCATCTCCAAAAAGTTGGTCAGCTGCAGGAAGCATGAAGTGCTCTAAAACTTCCTGGTATGTGGCTGCGTTGACCCTGGACCTCAGAAAACACAATGGACCAACACCAGCAGATGACATGGCACCCCAAACCATCACTGACTGTGGAAACTTTACACTGGACTTCAAGCAACGTGGATGAAGTGCCTCTCTTCTTTTCCTCCAGACTCTGGGACTTTGATTTCCAAAGGAAATGCAAAATTTACTTTCATCAGAGAACATGACTTTGGACCACTCACCAGCAGTCCAGTCCTGTTTCTCTTTAGCCCAGGCAAGACGCTTCTGACGCTGTCTGTGGTTCAAGAGTGGCTTGACACAAGGAATGCGACAGCAGAAACCCATGTCTTTCATACGTCTGTGTGTGGTGGTTCTTGAAGCACTCACTCCAGCTGCAGTCCACTCTTTGTGAATCTCCCCCACATTTTTGAATGGGTTTTGTTTCACAATCCTCTCCAGGGTGCGGTTATCTCTCTTGCTTGTACACTTTTTTCGACCACATCTTTTCCTTCCCTTCGCCTCTCTATTAATGTGCTTGGACACTGAGCTCTGTGAACAGCCAGCCTCTTTAGCGATGACCTTTTGTGTCTTGCCCTCCTTGTGCAAGGTGTCGATGGTCGTCTTTTGGACAACTGTCAAGTCAGCAGTCTTCCCCATGATTGTGTAGCCTATAGAACTAGACTGAAAGACCATTTAAAGGCTTTTGCAGGTGGTTTGAGTTAATTAGCTGATTAGAGTGTGGCACCAGGGGCCATCAATTTTGAACCTTTTCACAATATTCTAATTTTCTGATATGATGAATTTGAGATTTTCATTTGTTGTCATTTGTAATCATCAAAATTAAACAAAATAAACATCTGAAATATATGAGTTTGTATGTAATGTATGAATATAATATACAAGTTTCACTTTTTAAATGGAATTACTGAAATCAATCTACTTTTTCATGATATTCTAATTTTATGACCAGCACCTGTATCAGAGGTGAAACTGGAAGAACAGTATTTTATTAAACCTAATTTAGTTTTCATGGATAGGTGCAATCCTGCAGGCATCAAAAGAACATGGCAGCAGCTGAAAATGAAATATAAAAAAAAAATTCAAGCAGGTAAGCCTTGAGCACATCATGGGAGTAGAGTAGCTACCTGGCTTTACAAACAGGATCATCCATTAAAGGACATGCCATTTCATTCCCTTTGATGCGCTCTACGTGACTGAAATGTGTGCAATGAATACTGTATGTCCCCAAAGAATCAATGAGGTGTTTACAGTTTTTCTCGATTGTTTACACACAAATATTGGTACTTGAAACTCAATGACCACAAAATGTAACTCATGCACCAACCCCCTGAACCAATTCTGCTAAACTACAAGCACAATTCGTGCTTTACACTCAAATTGCAGTTCTAAAACACACTTTTTCCAAAACTCTACACACAATTGTCATGAAGAAAATCTTTTGTTTTCACAAGGAACACACTGTTATTCAAAACTCTAAAGTTAATTTCCCTACTATGCACACTGACTCCTCACATGGGCAAACACCTAACACACATGTTTCCACTCAGCAATCAGAGGTTTTGCATAAAAGGGCAACAGGTGAGCTCTTCTGTTTTGGAGCAATGGAGGCCAATGTTGTAAACAGAGGCAGAGCCAGAGCCAGAGGAGTGAGAGTAAGAGGATGACGATGGGGTGGACGAGGACGAGGAAGGCCAAGGACAATAATTTCTGATGAGATCCGAGCCACTTTGGTTGACCATGTGGTCAACCATGGCCTAACAATGAGGGAGGCTGGGCAAAGAGTACAGCCAAATTTGAGCAGGTACACTGTAGCATCCATCATCCGGACTTTCCGCAATGAGAATAGGTAAGAAATCTACTCTCACTACAAAACTGCAGTACTGCATATCAATACAGTACTCAATGAGTACAGTAGTACAGTATTACCTGTGGACTGTTCTGTAGGACATTGTGTTTCAAGTATTTGGGAAATGTATTCCTACACAGTATTTACAGTATTGCACTCTTTGTATTGCAGAACTGAAAGATTACCAACAAGAGGTGGACGGGGCCGTCTTCTGTCTCCTGAACAGGAAACAGAGATCATGAACATGGTTCTTGAAAATAACGCCATTACCTTACGGCAAATACAAAGAAAAACAATAGAAAACAATGAGATTTCAAAATATTGATAGGGTAAGTTTATCAACGCTGGACCGTGTCTTGCACAGAAATAAACTGAGGATGAAGCAGGTCTACAGGGTGCCATTTGAGCGCAATTCAGAAAGAGTCAAAGAATTGGGATATAACTATGTGCAAGTACGTCCTATACATTCCCACCCTTGATGCATACTTTCAACATTGTATAAATCATACATATTTCTTTCTATTATATTGTAATCATAATGATTGTGCTTCACAATAGTGACCGCTCCATGTCTACTTCTGATATTGTCATGTGTGTTTCAGAGAGTCCTTGAGCTAGAGGTGGATGCAGTGGAGCACCAGTTCTTCTTCATTGATGCTTCCACCGGGCTACTCTGGTTCATAACTGGTTCACTGACCACCCACGCTTTTCAGTTGTTTATCTCCCTCCATATTCTCCATTCCTCGATCCTATTAAGGAATTTTTTTCTGCCTGGAGATGGAAAGTGTACGACCTAAATTCAGAAACGCGTATACCCCTTTTCCAAGCTATGGAAGACGCATGCGGAGATATAGCAGTTGATGCTTTTCATGGCTGGATTCGCCATGCTAGGTGATATTTCCCCCGCTGCTTGGCCAGGGAAAACATTGCTTGTGATGTAGATGAGGTGCTGTGGCCAGACCGAAACAGAAGAGAGGATGCAGCATAGTTTATTTTGTTTTGTTTTTTTATTATTACTGTAACTGTATACAGTAAAATCTTCTGCACTGTATGTGCAACTTTGTGTCGGTTGGGATGTACACTGTGTACATTGTTTTGTGGGAAAAATAAAACATGTTTGTTACAGTATATTTTTGTGTTCTGAGTATAAAAACAATATTCTAAAATATTTTACAACACACTTATGTATTTAATGTCTGTAGTAATTGTAACACTGAACAAAAAGTCATTATGATGAATGGAGAATGGTGTTTTACACTGAGCACATCAGTGTTTAAATGCTTTTTTTAATTGTCTGTTCATATGATAGTTTGTGTGTGTCATCTGAACACAAAATGGCCTTTTGTGAAGAGATAAAATTGTTTTGAATGTAAAGTTTCATTTTGCAGGAGAATTGAAGGGTTTTGCCCATTGTGTGTGTGTGTGTTGGATTTGTGTGTAGAGTTCTGAGAATACGAGGCATGTTTTCAGAAATGTGTGTAAACAATCCAGAAAAACTGTAAACACAACTTCCTCTTTAAAAAAGGGGAGGAGACCAAAATAAACTCTGGATTTTCTGAAGAAAACCTGCTCCCGACCAGGTTAGGTTCACAGAGTAAATTGCCATGGTAACTGACTCTGAGTTTAAGTTACCTCTCTTTCAGAAACGGGCTTGACTTACTCTGCTTTCTCAGGTTTAACTTACCTCCCTTTCTGAAACAGAAAACCCAGAGTTTCCCTCATTTCAGGGTTAACAAACTCAGAGTTTTCACTTAACCTCCTTTCTGAAACAGGCCCATTGTCTCTTCGCCTAGCCTGATCTGGCCAGAGAATTTCATCAACATCGCAGGCAATGTTGTCATTAGCAAGACACCTTGGAAAGAAACGTCTTGAATGACGAATCCATCCTTGAATTGCTGCTACCTCCATCTGGTCACAGGCCTCCTCCATGGCCTGGATGAGGGGTACCTCAGCCTGGAGACGGAGATCATATACCTTCCACCGCCATGCCGAGAAAAACTCTTCTATAGGGTTGAGAAATGGAGAGTATGGTGGAAGATATAAGACGGTGAAATGTGGATGTTGCTGAAACCAGTTCTGAACCAGAGCAGAGCGGTGGAAAGACACATTGTCCCAGACAACAATGTATTGCATATGATCGATTTGATTTGCTGCTGTTATGTTGTGCAATTGGTCCAAGAAGTATGAGTACTGTGTTGTGGGGGCTCGTATGGGCATGGCGGTGCAAGGAAGTGACTTCATAATAGATTTTTGTGTGTAATGTATGTTAAGTGTGTTTAGTGTTTTGCATACACTGTGTGTAGAGTTTTGCAACAAGTGTGAGGTTGACAATGTGCTTATAGTTGTGCAAATAAGGGCTGATGTTTTGCTTCTTGGGTGTAAGGTTTTGCTAATAGTGTACTACTTTTAACTTTAGTGTGTAAGCAATCCAAAAAAACTGTAATGCCCATTTACATTAAAATCCAAAATTCTGAGATTAAAGTCAGAATTCTGACTTTTTTTTTCTGATATTATACTGAAATAGAATTAAAAAATTCAGTTAACTTTTTTAAATTGTTTCAGTGGCTCTAATCCTCTTCTGTATTTTTCTACCTTATCGAAAAAATATTATTATATAATTATAATATAATATAATATGTTTGATTAATTAACCAACATCTATTTAATTATCTAAATATGAACGGCACAACATTTGGAACAGTAATCCTCAATTAAGTTCACTTTTAATGTATAAAATGGAAGTCAGTGAATCATAATTTGAAATATTTGCCCAAGTATATCGGTTGATTTCTTTTCAAAGTGGAAGTAGATACATGTGAATTATAAAACAAAGCATCATTGATTGATTATATCCCCCACCCATGCATAAAGCTGTTGTAGAAACTGAGAGCTCCTGCTGCACCAAGAGGTAAACTAATGAGCAGTGACGCAGACCCCTGCACAGAGCAGGTGCAAAACTTTATAACCATCTCCCCTCAAACTCAATAAGGTGTATAAATTCCTGCTATGTATTCCAGTTGCTTTATTTTCTTTTTTAAAAAGTGTACGGCATTTTATGCATGTGCACATTTTAAATCACCTAACTCATTTGCACATTTATAGGAGTATAACCTTGAGACAACTTTTACAATATTTTTTGTAAACATCTGGTGCAAAATTTTCCCCGTATGCATAAGAATTTAACCACTTGAAAACAGGCTAAGCTTTCTTTAAACTGATATTAAATGATTTTGAAAATTATTTATTCTAAATAGGAACTTTAAAACACAATTGATCCTGCAAAGGACTTATCATCTCCCCACAATTTTCTTTTGATTATAAATTTTTCTTTTTCGTTGTTGTTGTTTTTTTGACCTCCTTTTAATTCCAATTTTGTTTATTAATGTTTAACTTTAGGGTTTTTCTGTATGGGGGGTGGGGGTGGGGGGGTGGGGTTGGGTTTGTTTAGTTTTTTCAGGCAAAAAAAAATGTCTCCCTGTGCTGGTAGAGCCAACCGCTAGGGGGCGCCAGTAAATATAGTCTCTTGTCTGTGAGCTGATGAATGCTGAAGAGGTGAAGGGTCAGAGTTGAATGTTTGACAGAAAGCTGAATATGGATTCCATATTTCATGAGAAAGTAGGTAGAACTTTTAATCTGAGCATTTGATCAATTAATGCTCACTGTGACCTATCCTTAGAGCGCTAATGTCCGTTTAGCGGCCGGAAGCTGCCGCTTCAGCTGTTTTGTTGTTTGTTCAAAATGCTAACTGCTAGCTAACCTGCTAACTAGAGAGGTTGAAAAGTTTGTTTACAGATTTGTTTTTAGCAGCTTTAAAGTCAGGATCCGAGCTTATACATTGTCATTTTACAAGTAATAAAAGTCGCATGAATAAAGCGAGGTGTTGTCGCTGTGGTCTACAGCCCCTAATTATGTTTTTTTTTTTTTTTAACTGCTTGATCTCTGGAGGCTGTTTAATAAGATCAAACTACAGTTTAGGGCACATGGTCGAGCTTTATGTGGTCTTAAATCATAAATCCTAATTTTAAAGGTGTAAATTGATCCTTTTACATCAAGTTGTTTCCCTCTGTGTTTAGCGTTGTCCTAACTAAACATTTTCCTCAAGTAGTTTATCTAATTAGGATAGTTATTTCCTCAGGATATACAGGTTATCATTTTTGTTATGTACATAACAGAGATTTGGAAATTAAATGATACAGACGGAGTGGATGCTGCTGGTATGGCTGGAGCCAGGGATCCATACATTTACAAACGTCTATGATGTTATGATCTGATGATGTGGTAGACCGGGTGTATTAATAAGTTTCTTTTTAATTAAAAACTTGACTGTAATTCGGGGCCAACTTCATGGAGAAGCGAGCCTGGTTGGTAAGCGCTCCCATCTGTAACCCTAAACAAATTCTCCGGTCTGAGTAAGATTACAGTTTCTGTTCAAATCTGTTGTCATGTCCCATGGTTTTTTTGAGGCACAAACATTATGAAGTGTTATTTAAAGAGTTTGTCCAGAGTGAGGAAAGAATCAGAAAGAGAAGGCTTAAAGATGTAAATACAGAGCTTTCCTTTACAGTAATGATAAATTATATATATATGTGAGTGTGTATATGTTCCAATTTGTTTTGTTATAAGATGTATCATTGCATGCAGAGACTAAATTTGGGTTTGCATACACAATCAGTTCAAATCTGTTGTTATTTGAATAAAATCATGATTTTTGCTCCCATATATTTACTGCAATAACATAAACCCTACAAGTGCCTGTTTGTCTCCCTATGCCTTAAAAAAATTATTCATGTGACGGAAGGATTTAAACTCTAACACTTTGATTTTCCACCACCAATTCTGTGTTTTGCAGCAAGAAGGCTCCCTGTGTGCCCAGCACTGCCTGAACAACCTCCTCCAGGGGGAGTACTTCACCCCTGTGGATCTGTCCTCCATTGCTCATCAGCTGGATGAAGAGGAGAGGATGAGGATGGCAGAGGGGGGCATGGCCAGTGAGGAGTATAGGACATTCTTACAGGTAATTACAGATCGAACTTTAGTTTAATGTCTTATTATACATGTTAATATTGTAGTTTTGTCTTTAAAGCAACCCTCAGGGAACATGGATGACAGTGGATTCTTTTCAATACAAGTATGTGTACACATCCTGTCCTTAGAGGTTAGTCTAAAGTGTAGACCTATTGAAAGTTATCTAGCTCTAATTTGTTCATCGGTTGCTGCAGGTTATTAGCAATGCTCTCCGGGTGTGGGGGTTGGAGCTCATCCTCTTTAACAGTCGAGAGTACCAGAGGCTGATGATAAACCCGATGTAAGGTTTAATCATACAGGCTAAACTGAAGATATGTATTTCAGTATAAGATGACGCCTTCCTTTATGTTTCAGAAATGAGAAAGCCTTCATTTGCAACTATAAGGAACACTGGTTTACTATACGCAAACTGGGACAGCAGGTATGAAGCTACCTTTGAGTTTCTCATGAACTCGGTTGAGGCAGCCGGCTTCACCAGAAACACTGTTCTCATTGCAGTGGTTCAACCTGAATTCATTGCTGACTGGACCTGAGTTGATATCAGACACGTATTTAGCACTTTTCCTTGCACAGCTGCAACAGGAAGGTATCGTTAGAATAAACAGTGTTTCCTCTCTCTGCGTTTAAATGTTGAACTTCAGATGCGATTTGTAAAAACGTGTATTTGTGCAGGTTATTCCATCTTTGTAATCCGAGGAAATCTCCCAGAGTGTGAGGCAGAGCAGATTCTTGGGATCATGAGGGTCCATCAGCAGCAGCGGCCCAGACTCATTGGAGAAGACGAAGCCCAGACCAGTATGGGGTAGGTGTGTGCAGTTGGTGGAATATTTATATTCTGAGTGGACTCACTGCTAACTGCGCTGGTCGCTTCCAGCAGGACGACAGCCTCTCAGGCACAGACAGATGTGGGTTTTGCTGTTGAGGATGAGGATGAAGAATTAAAGAAAGCTCTGGCTCTCAGCAGACAAGACATGGATGTGGAAGATGAAGAGGCTGATGTTCGGAGAGCCATACAGCTCAGCATGCAAGGTAACTGGTTTATCGGAGGCATTTAATGTATTTCAGACACATTTTGTCCTGTAATGGACAGCACTGTCTAAAGTTTAAAGCAGGTGTAATAAAATGGAAGCATTATTAGATCTTGCTTTATTTACCGAAGAAATGTGCAGTTGATAAACAGAAAATAAATCCAAATAGAATCAATATTTGGTTTGATCACTTAGCTCCTTTGTTTTCCCTATTTGTCCTCTTTACGTTCTCCTTGCTTACTTTCCTTGTTGTCTGGTCTTCTGGTGTCCTAACAACTTCCTTCCTTGTGTTCTTCCTTTCTTTACTTCCTTATATTTTCCGGTCTTAATCTAATCTGGCTAATGTTATGTCCTATTTTTTCCTTTCCTCTTTGCTATGAATTCTTCTTTCATTCTTCCCTTGTGTGTGACCTTCATTCCTCTCTTGACTTCCTGTGTCCTCATTTTCTCCTGTCCTTCCTTTCTGGTGTTAAATTTTATTAAATTTCGTTCAATTCTTCATATTTCCTTCCTTCTTTGTATCCATTCTTTCTTATTTGCATCCTTTCTTTCTTCCTTCTTTGTGTCTCCTTTCCTTTATTTGTTCCTTATTGGAAGCTTGAATGCTGTAATAATGGCTGTCATAATTTAAAGGTGACTGGATATAGAAGAGAGTTATAACTTGCACATTTGACTCTGGGGAAGTCTAGAATTTACATGTTAATAGGAATGCTGAGTTAGCCTTTGCCTTCAGTTCTTACACCGGGGCAGTTTTTAAGAAACTCTGTAGGTTTGTTGCTCCATCCTGAAGAACTGACCAAAGATCTTTAGAATTCTTCAACACTGTACTGTGAATGTGATTAAAAAAGAAGAAATTAGCTGAATTATGGCTAATGTGCATTTGGTAGAACTCTGAAAAGTCTTGGGCAATGGTAAAATGTTTCTGATTTTGCAGGAGCAGTGATGAGCAACAGGTCCTCAGAAGGTGAGGTGGCAGGTGTGAAATCGGTTCGCACCAATGATGGACCCAAAGAAGGCCAAAGCGATGCACTTACAGCCGAGGAGCTGAGGAAGAGGAGACAGGCCTACTTTGATAGGTACAGGCTCTTCATCACCTCCTTAGAGAATAGAAGACACTTTTTGGACTAAATCCTCTCTGATCCCTGTTTTAGACAGCAACAACAAGCTCAGCCAAGCATTCCCCAACAGCTAGACACACAACCAACCGATGGGTCAGGTGAGCAACCCAACTTTAAATAATAAAGATAAATTGTCTAACTTATTCTAAACAGAATTCAAACAGGCCGTTCATCAGATGATTGAAATTTAAAACAATTAACAGTGAAAAAAGAAAAATAGACTTGAAAGTAGCAGAAAAGGGCTCTGTTAAGAGCACACTTCTAAAATGTGCTTTTCTATGGTTGATGCGAGTATTTCATTGGGCCGGTTTGAACATGTCTGCATGAAGAAAAGATAGTTTATTGGAAAGGAAAAGTGTTGTTTTTTTTATTTATTAATCACAATGCTGATTTAGTTGTTTTGATTTTATTATTATTATTATTATTATTCATTATTAGCATTATGTTTGGCCCAGCCCCTTCTTGATCTTATCAAACATTTCCAATCCAGCTTTATTGATATAGCTCTATAAAAGTCAACGTTCTGCACAAAAGCGGGCTGCGCTGCTTTAAACCTTGCCTATGCAACTGAATGAGTCATGAGCTAGAGCGCTGCTTTACGACTGTCTCTCTTCCATTAGACATGGGAAATAATTAATTAAGGAGATAATAAAGGTTGTTGTTCTGTAACAAAAAAGTTTATACTTACTGATCAGTAATATTTTTGATTTTCTGATGTTGGACTTAGTCTTCAGGGGTGAATATGGCCTTGAATTTACAAGTACCTTAATGAAACATGCAGTTTTGCCTCATTTAGCCATTTGTTTAATGGGAAGTTACAGGTCTAGTGCTCCTAGTGGCTAAAAGTTACTCAGTGCTACTTTAAATGCATTCAATTTATAAACTCACATTTTTTGTCCTAGTATAAAGAATATAAGTGTGTTTTATAGTTTATTGCAATATTTCACAGTATCCTTAAATATTAACCTGCACCCACAACTTTACACAGGAACAGCAAACACCGCCTCTGAGGAAGAACAACAGCAAAAGTCCAGCCAGTGAAGTTGTGGAAAGTTTGCGTTGTTTACCAGTGGCTTGGATTGGAACCCCCTGACTGGGGTATCTTTGCTCCCTCCTCTAACCTTTTGCATATGCAAACACAAGGACGTAAGGACATGGTTTCCTGTGTTAGTTCACTGACCGACCATAGAGAAGAGAAGAACGCCGATGAAGAGGCAGCACTATGTGAAGCGCTCAGAGAGTGGGGGAAAGGGGTCACCTTTGCTCAAGAGGACTCATGATGCAGTAAATTCAAGATTGCAAATTGCCTTTTTTACCATGGCGCCTTCTTTTCTATTCTATACAGTTTGGTTGGTTGTTTGTTTTTTATTCCAGTTCTTTTGTTTTTTTAGAAAGACCTAGAAAGACAAAAAAAAAAAAAACATGCATTGGGTATGTGTAGGAGGTAAAAAAGATGAGCTAGGCATTCTATGAAAGCCATGTGAGACCAACGTTTTGGACACAGATAAAAGCTTTATAGGTAACGTAGTCTCCTGCTGCGAAGTTTGGTTTTGTGGAACAAAAATGTAAGAAAAATTATTCTGAGTCTTTATCCATCACAACACCTTTACAGCTGGAAATAATCCAACAAATTCTCACCGCACCAGTGTCGTTTGGTCATAAACACTCATGTCTCTGGGTCGTTTATTCCTGATCTCAGTGATAATTTCCCTCCACGGCCATCTTTGATCTTTTTACTTTATTCCTTTCTTAAAATGTACAAATAGACATTAAATGAAAACAGTACAAGGGTCCACTGTAGACAAAGGGGGAGTAGTGGTATTTTTTCGACATTAGTGGAATATCAAAAAAGCATTTTAAAAAAACAAGAAGGAAAGTCGGTATATTATCATTCAACTATGGGTGATAGAAACATCCAATCTTTTTACTCTGGGAGCCCTCAAACTACCTGTTAATTGAATTAATGTGGCTATGTCATATAAAGTGGAAACCAGATGTTTACATACATACACTGTTTGGACATAAAACTGATTTTATCCTTATTGTTTGACATTAAATCAGACAGAACCTTGTATCTTTTAGTTCAGCTGGGATTTATGTTGCTCAGTGATATAAGGATGGTTCCTATTGATGTAAAGGCCCTTTAAACTGTTTGACTTGGCTCAAACAATTTAGGTTCCCTTTCTAGAATCTTCTCCCAATAGTTAGAGGTTTCACCCCGACAGAACTGGTGTAACTGAGGCTGGTGTACAGGCCACCTGCTCACACATCCCTGTATGTCTGTCCATACATTTTTGATGAGACTGAGATGAGGGAATTGTGATGGCTTTTTTTCTTTCAGATACTTTATAACCAGTTAAGTGGTATATTCAGGGTGATTTTCCACATGAAATACCCATTTGTGCCTCAGCTTTAAATTCTCTGCTGAAAATCCGGTTGTTTCGATTCTTCCCCAAACATTTCTTTCTCATGATTCCATCCATTTTTCAGAAGCGTACCCGTCCTTCTTACAGCAAAAACATCCCCAAAACATGATGCTGCCACCCCCGTGCTTCATTGTTGGGGTTATATTCTCAGGTTTACAAGCTTTTTTTTTTTCCTCCAAATGTCAAAAAAGGGTCATTATGACCAAAGAAAACATTTTTTATTTCATCTTACCACAGAACAATCTGCCCTTTTCTGTTGTTCTTGGAGTAATTACTTCTTCCATGCAGAACGGCTTTTCAGCCCATGTTTTCCAGGACTATTTTGGAACTCTTGGACATAGTGCCCTACTTTTACTAGATAAGTATGATGGTTAGCCATTCTGATGTTGCCTATATTTGTATATTGACCAGATCAACGCGTCAGCTGGAAACGAGACCAACCTGAGAAGACTTTCCATAATACCTTGGCCAATTTATGCCATATGTTTGTTCCATGAAGTCACACGAGGAGTGCTTGAGGTGTCCCGATACGCGTCCACAGGTTCCTGCTTTCTGTTAACTTCGCTGTTGTGAATGAACCTACCAGATTCTTAAGAACATTAAATCATCTGGCCATTCTAATCTTTTTGGACATTTTTAAAAAGTTATAGTTTTTTTGCGTAATTTATTAAATAGAATAAATGTTCGTATAACTAAGTGAGCTAAAACAGGAAAAGAAAGGTTAAATGTCAGACAAAGGCGATATTTACTGTTTGTAATCATCTGGTTTCAACTGCCTTACATGGACACAGATCCCTGCTTGACATGTATCAAGTGACTTTTTATAAATGATAGAAAAATGCTTATTGAGATTCATAGTTTGTTGAACTGAAAAAACAAAATAGACAAACAGAACATAACAAAAGTGTGATAGATTGGGGAAAAAAGTGCTGTAATTTATTGTCCAAAACTATAACCAGTTACAGCTTCACTTAAGGGTGGTTATCAGGTTCTGCTTTCCTGGACAGACCACATCACAGCAAATCGGTGTCTGAGGAGTTATGTTTTCTGGAACCAACAACAGATTTGGAGGGGATTTATCCTGAAAGGTGCTGGGAGTCATGCAAAGTAAAGTACATGCTGTGCTTCAAGACTTCCTGCTAGATTGAATGTTTTTACTCTTGCTTGTCATGATTGGCTGATTTTTTTTTTTTTTTTAATGCACTTGTGTGAAAGTATGAAATGTTTTTTTGTTTTTTTTAGTCATTGCATTTGTTTTCGTTCACTTCTTTCTTACTGTAACTTTTTTGCGTTTGTTTCATGTTGCGATACAGTCTTTCATTTAATATAATGGTCAGTGTTGCAGGATTAAAGTGATATTAACTCACTCTGTTTGCTGCGTTTTCATTTCGGGTCTTAAAGGCAGTTACAGATAATTATTCGTATTTCTACCAAAAGAAAGTGGCAAATATGTTCAACTGAGCTATTTTGTGACAAAGGAATTAATTATTTGACAAAAGTCTTCATTTTTTTAATGTGTTGAGAAACTCTCTGGAAAACATAAACTGGATAATTCTCATCTAAAATTGCATCTATGTCAAATCATCTTTGATACACCCAAAATACCTAAACCTGCCATAATGAGGAGTAATATCATGTTTAAATTAGAGCAAATGCATAGAGCAGGTATGCCCAAAGTCTCGAGGGCTTCTGTCCTGCAGCTGTTAGATGTTTCCCTGCTTCAGCACAGCTGATTCTTCTTCTTTGTGAGATTTATTGGTGGTTGACAAACAATTTGAATGTGCATTACCACCACCTACCAGTATGGATTTTGGAACAAAATGACAGTATTATAGCCAATATATTAAGATGCTCTACTTTATATCCTAAATATAATAATCAAATGTCCCTCCTGTCCCTTTTATCTATCATTACATTTCATATATCATTACAAATTACATTTTCTAAACTATCCACATACTCATTAAGTCTACTTTCCATTTACTATTAAACATCTTAAATTATCTTGTATAATAAACACTTGAACTAATAACCAGATGTTCTTGTTCTCTCCTGTTCTTTGTGCTTGAACTCTCCACTGCTTCTGCGTAGTACTTCTAAGTACTGCGTAGTAATCTAAATATTATTTTTATCTCTTCTCTGACAACCTTCCTTCGCACAACTCTTCCTTCATCTGTACTGTTTTATTATAATTCCTGTTTCTTTCCTCGATTCTCAAACCTCCTTTCCCCCATTTTACCTCCCCTATCTCTTTCCCATTTGAAACTGCGTTCCTCATCCTCCTCTACCTGACTTTCCATTTTGTTCCAACCAAAATTATTTTGATTTTGATGATTTCAGTTCAGCAAAAGCCTGTTAATCAGCTATCAATGGAAATCAACTGAGCAGAAGCAAGGAAACCTCCCCCCTAATATTGTTGTGTGTGGTTAATGTGCAACCAGCAGAGCATACTTGTACTTTGTTTCCCCAAACAACAGATGCAGTTTGCAGAACTCATCTGGCTCAAGCTGAAAGGTATGTGAGGCTTGGGAGAATATTTAAGTCCTAAATTCCTTTTGTTTGTGACAATCTAATTTTTATGCTTTAGAAAATGTTAAACATAAAATGTTTATATTTCAGGTTCTGAGTTCAAACCTCTCAGGATCAAACATGGGAACCCACACACTGGAAATGGCTTTTATTTTTGTTGTGACCTACTTGTGCTTCATGGCTCCTGTCCATCAAGCAGCGCTTCAAAACATCACCATCTCTGATCTCTCCTACAAGAACATAGATTTTGCCATGAACCTTTACAGAAAAATATCCAGTTATCACGACAAGAACGTCTTTTTCTCGCCTCTCAGTATCTCCACCAGTTTCGCAGCTCTGCTGATGGCGTCTGGTGGTGAAACGCACCAGGAGATCCTGAAGGGATTGAACCTGGAGCAGCTGCAAGTGGCCGACCAGCCAGAACTCATCCCGAGACTTTTTCAACTTCTTCAGGAGACCATTGCGCAGAACGGCTCTCTGAAAGTGGAGCAAAGCATGGCCCTTTTTATCCGTCAGCAGTTCGAGGTCGATAAAGAGTTTGAGGACAAAATGAGGACATTTTTCCATGCAGACGTTAAAACTGTAGACTTTGCAGACACGGTGGAAAGCGTCATTTACATAAATGACTACATCAGACAGAAGACTGAGGATAAAATTGCAGACATGATTTCTACTCTTGATGAATCGACTCAGCTCCTGCTGATCAACAGTATTTTCTTCAGAGGTAAGCTGAATTAAGCTCATTGACGTGTTTGCGTGATCAACTTTGCCCCCAGACTATTTGCATCCAGTCTAACCATGTTGTCCCCAATACAGGAGCCTGGCAGATCCCTTTTGATGCCGATTTGACCAGAGATAGAGCCTTTTACATTGACAATTACAATATAATGCAAGTGCCCATGATGTTAAAGGAGGATAAGTTCTACACTATGGAGGACATTCTTCTTGGAGTTAAAGTGCTCAAACTGCCATACCAGCAAGGGGTTTCCATGCTCATCGTGCTACCCAACAAAGGCATTGACTACACAGTGATTGATGATGAAATCACTGCTGAGAAGTTCCTGAGTTGGGTCAAACTGCTGCGCAAAACGTACGGTCCTACTTCCATTAAAAAATTGCATGTCTTTCCTGTCCATCATGTTAGAATTTTCCAATTTCGCATAATTTTACTTTTTCCATCCAAACTGGGGCTTTTTAAAGTTGACCAGCAGCAAAATTGTCAATTATCATTCAATTATAGATGTATAAGTTAAACAACCCTATTGTCATGTTCTGTTTGCAGAAGACTTGAAGTCAGCATGCCTAAAATCAAGATGGAGCAGGAGTATTCCCTACACAATATTCTGCCAGAAATGGGCATGACCAGCCTCTTTGACACCTCGGCAAATCTTACAAGGCTCAGCAAGGACAGTGGCCTCAAACTGTCAGAGGTTTGTGTGACGTTCTCCATGTTTAAGCCACATCTTTCTATGTTTCCACCTGAACTCTGTTATCCCTAATGTCAAACCGCAGGTGCTGCACAAAGCTGTGGTTGAGGTGGATGAGACGGGAACAACTGCAGCTGCTAGCACCACCATCGGTATCATTCCCTACTCTCTGCCCAAGATGTTCACCATCAACAGACCTTTCTTCTTCTTCATATACCACGAGGACACAAACTGCGTCTTGTTCATGGGGAGAGTCATTGACCCCTCTAAAAAATAGTTGTTTTTCATGCATCAGTTTAATCTCTAGTAGCCTGTGGATATTGCTTGCTCTTTGGTCAGCCTTTTGTGATGCTTTTTCTTTAACCCTTTTTTTTTTTGCTTTGTTGTGTCTATAGGGTGTATTCAAGTTTCGGCAATTGTGCGTCCAGACCGGACGTGGCACATAGGTTCACATAGAATTCCTATGCAAACCGCGGTGAACTCCCTGCAGTGCTCGCAGAAATCACCACAGACGCAGCGTCCGGTCTGAACACACCATAAAACCTACATGCAACATGAGAAATGCCTTCATGAAATGACAGCTATAAGTTATATTAAGCTTACTTGACTAACCGTTGTTAACTATTTAGATTCCCGCTTCCAAGCTAAACCATATTAAAAATATTTCCCATATTAAAGAAGGTAATTTTTTTTTGCTGTTTAACTTTTGTAGTCAGCGGGCCTTGAGTTGTAAAGCCTCTCAAAAGCTTTTTTCTTAGTCAAGGCAGAATTAGCTTATTTAGGTTTTAAATGATTTTTTTAAGGTTGTTTTTTTCTGGGCAGATATTTGGGTATCGCTTTTCCCCAAAAATTTGATAAAGGGAGGTAAAGATCAGGGTAAGAGCAAGGAGGTCCTCCAACCTCAGAGACTTGTAGCTCATCATTAAGGATGAATCGTGAAAATAAAAATATATGGCTGGAAATCATAAAAAGGGAGAGATTCCTGTAATAAACTTCAGAAAGGAATAAACAAATTTCAATTTGCTTTTTTTTTAAGACTGATAAACTGATACATTAACATTGTATCTTGTTAGAGATTACTGTCTACATTCTGATTGTAAATGAAATAGTTTAGTTTGAATAAAATACACACTGCTCAGTGGGGCAGTGGGTAGCACTGAGTTTGCATGTTCTCCCTGTGCATGAGTGGGTTCTCTCCTGGTACTCCGGCAAAACACAACTGCTATTTGGCTTCTACAAATTCTCCTTGTGAGTGTGTGTGAATGTCTATGTTGGCCTGCGATAGACTGGCGACCTTACCCCAACAGGGATAAGCATGACAGAAAAAGGATGAATGGATGAATAAAGTACTTGTAAAAAGAAATATGCCAGTTGTATGAATGATTTTGGCTGTAATTGAACAGTCGAACAGCTTCACTCCATATACTGGATGGCTGGGTTTGCTTGTATGGAGATACCGCTAACTTGCTTGTTTGCTTCCTTCTTTCCAGGTAATTGTTGGAATAATATTCAAGTTATGGTTAAATAAATAAAAAAAAATTACTCAAAACTGTATTGTATCAGCGTGTAAAGCAGTGCAGCAAACGATTAGAAAATGTTTTTTCACTGCGTTTTGTTTTTTACAATAAGGCAATTAAGAATCTAAATTGACACTATGAAGTCATAAGTACAAAATGTTCAGACACCCTGCACAGAAACCACATATAAGAAAACAGAGCAAAATGAAAGAGCATACATTTACAGAAAAAACCCACAATATTAAGCGAGAGTGAAAAAAATGGAAGATAAAATCTAAACAAGCTTTATAGTGGAGGAACATTTTTCTGGCTTCAGTAAAGATTTTGTCTGTATTTTGTTGGGAAAGTTACTCATCTGTTGCGCAGGAGTTAACCCTGACTGACTGTTCACGTCGTTAAATAAATACAGTTTTTCAAACCATGTGATAATACTGTCGTTCAGTTATGATAATGGAAAAGAAGCAAGATAAATCTTACACAGTAGATATTACTTTAGTACAGTTACATTTAGACAGTTATTGTCAATATATTCAAATGTATACATATGCATCAAAAATAACAAGGAAAATAGGAATAGCTTTTGTAATACCAGAATTCAACATAAAAACAGGATAATGGATTTCAGATGGATTATTAGTATACACAAGGGAAATGTTGGCCATATTATTAGCTTTACAATGGGTAGAAGACATAAAACCATTAAAAACAGTAATTTGTTCAGATTCAAGCTCTGCATTATTAAGTTTAAAATATAATCAATCAGGTAGAAGGATGGACATTCTATGAGAAATATTTCATACCTTATTCAGAATAAAAAATATGGGTTTGATAGTTGCATTTGTGTGGGTTCCAGCACATATTGGAGTAGAAGGAAAAGAGAGGGCAGATAAAATGGTAAAGAGGGCAATTTAAAATCCTATTAGTTTTACAGATAAAACTACTAAATCGGAGGGAAATAGTATTATTAAAAAAAACTAATTGGAAAAATGGCAAAAAAGGTGGGAAGAAGAAAAAAAAGAAGACGGTTTTATCAAATTCAGAAGTTAGTAGAAAAAAGAAGAAATGGAAGATGAAATAGGAAGGAGGGGAGAGTGATAACAAGGTTAACATTTGGGCATACAGGACTTAATTATAATAATCAAAATTCAAAAGCATACTACTGGCAAATGTGATTACTGTGGAAAATATGAAACCATAGAACATGTTATACTGGAATGTCATAAATATGAAAGCCAGAGAAGACATATGAGGCGAAAATTTGAAATATACTCATATATGTATATATATATATATATATATATATATATATATATACGCACATGTATACACACACCCATACATATACTATATATACATATACATACACGTATACATTTACTATATATACATATATACACACGCATACGCTATACTATATATATTACTATATATATAGTAAATGTATACGTGCATATATATATATATATATATATATATATATATATATATATATATATATATATATATATATATATATATACCGTATATATATATATATATATATATATATACCGTATATATATATATATATATATATATATATATATATTTTTTTTTTTATTTTTTTTTTTTTTTTTTTACCCTTAAAATTTATACGGTATATGTGTTTATATTAGTAGATAGTCCATCACGAACAACACTCCATACCAGTAAGTGGCGGTAATGCTACTAAATGTTTGTTGCCAACCGCCAATAAATCCAAGAAGAAGAAGAAGTAAAAAACTGTCATGGCGGCGCCCTCGTGTCATGTGCTGTCTGATTTGCCCGAAGTCGCTTTACTGTAGACAAACTGTTGTTATTGATAATCTTCAGGTAGACATTCATTTATTTATTACCGAGGTATAACTTTGGAAAAATCTGATATATTTTTAAAGCGCGTGGCAGCTTACTCCAGGATTCAGTTGGGAAATCTGTTGAGTTTGGAGCAAAATGAAGCAAAAGAAGGCAAAAACTGGAGAAAAACGTCTCTCCTCAGTAAAACGGAGCTTCGATATGAAAGGCAAATGGAAACCAGTGGAGCTGGACCCTCATTTATTCTCTCAGGAAGGCCTGCAGGACTTGGTTTGCTTTGAAGAGCTGACATCTTACAGTCTGGTAGACAGCAGCAAGGCTGCAAAACAGCTGAAAAAGGAAAAGAAACGGGCAAAGAAGAGAGGAGCCGAGCAAACTGGAGAGGAAGCAGCCGAACCTGCTAAGAAGAAAAAGAAGAAACATGAGAAGGTGGCTTCAGGTGATCCAGAGACCAACGAGGACCTGATGGAGGAAGGTGAAGCTGCTACTAAGCAGGATGGAGAGGGTGAGAAAGAATCAGCAGCCATCTCTGAACATGCTCAGTCTATTAACACAGATAAGAGAGAAAAGAAGAAGAAAAATAGGCAGAAAATGAAAAAATTAGACCAGGTTGCAATCACAGAGGAACAGACCGACTTCAAACCTCCTGAAAAAGAAAAACCAAGTCAGAATCAAAGAAAGCCCAAAATGCAGACAAAGAACTGGACAGAAGCAGCACTTTCTGGTTCTGAGGAGAAAAATTCGGATGTGAGCGCTTGGAAGGACCTGTACGTCCCCTCTGAAGTGCTGAAGGCTTTAAGCAGGCTGGGTTTCACTTCACCCACTCCCATTCAAGCCTTGGCTTTGCCTCCAGCCATCAGAGATCGCATGGACATCCTTGGGGCGGCTGAGACCGGTAAGACAACTTGAAGTTCCCACCAAGGCCTTCATCAGCAAACATTTCCTAATCCATGATCATTGAAACTTATTTATAATTGCAGGAAGTGGTAAGACTCTAGCTTTTGGTATTCCCATGATCCACACCATCCTGGAATGGAAGAGCAGCTCAAGGAAGACGACTGATCCAGGCGACAAGGAGGAGCCCAAATCGGGAGATCAGCAGGATGACGTGGTGGAGGCTCCAGAGGAGGAGGATGAGAGCGAAGTATTTCAGGCTGAGACGGGCTCTGATGAGGAGGAAGAGAAGGCTGAGGATGACGAGCAGCTGGGGTGTGTCCGAGTGATTGATGATGCAGAGTTTGATTTCAAGGAAAAGACCAATGATGGACAGAACCGGCCTCTCCTCGGACTGATTCTCACTCCAACCAGGGAGCTGGCTGTTCAGGTCAAACACCACATCGATGCTGTCGCTAAATTCACAGGTAATCGGTTTAAACACTAAAATTAGTTTAAATCTGTTTTAAGACAATTTAAATTTTCTCTGTAGTTTCAACCCTTGTCTTCCCCTCTTGCAGACATCCAAACAGCCATAGTGGTGGGTGGAATGTCGCAGCAGAAACAACGGAGGATGCTGAAGCGCAGGCCGGAGATTCTCATCGCTACTCCAGGACGTTTGTGGGATTTGATCAAGGAGCAGCATCCTCATCTGGTTAACCTCAGGCAGCTAAAGTGAGTCGTATTTCATAAACCTCTGGCTACGGGTCCATACAGTTTATATAAAGGAATTGCTATGTCAAGCAGAGTAGCAGTAACCTGTACACACTAGAGGAAATGATCACACCTGGAGGACAGCATACTACGCAGTTTAAATAAAATATAATGTAGAAAAAGATGCTGTGTAAGCATAAATCTGCCTTTAAGACTTGCCTCTGTAGAGTTTTGATGCTTTTTGGTCATTTAGGCCATAGTTTGTGCAACCTTTGCTCTCCAAGTTATTAGGGCTGCAGGATATTTGACAATCTAATATTGGTAAATATTTTAATGGCGATGTTGGTTGATTATTATTCCTAGTTTATTCTTCCCTCTTAAGACTGCTTGAATCACTCTGCGGCCTTTTTGGCATTTTCCGCTATTAAATTTGTGTCCAGGGCGAACATCTGCTGCAGTGAGTCTCTTTCCAACTGGTTAATAACCAAAATAATTTTTAAAATACAAGTTAATTAAATTTTTTGTTAAATAACCAATAATCAGAGCTCCAAACAGTCCGTTGCAAAGGTGGTATGTTAGACATTGGTATTGATAGTGATAAACCGTGCAGCTGTACTCTGGATAGTCACACTACACAGCCCCCATAAAGCACCACAGCACTTAAATTTTAACTGCTAAACTGGATTTGGGTGTTTGCAATTCATGCTCAATTATTCATCTGCTTTAGATGATTAAATGAAATCAATATTGCAGTGATATTATCCAAAATCTAAACCTCTGCTGAAGGTAGAAGACTGTGAGGTACTACTTGTGAGGTAATGCTAACAGCAACATTGTTTTTAATCAACAACTTAAACCTGGGTTATGCTGAGTATAGAAAACACAGCTCTTTTCCACATTTTCTGACCTCCAAGACGGACATTAGTTGTTTTTTTTAAAGTTTTTTACAGTCTCTCCTGGGTTCGATTCCCAGACCGAGGTCTTTCTGCATGGAGTTTGCATGTTCTCCCTGTGCATGCTTGGGTTTTCTCCGGGTACTCCGGATTCCTCCCACAGTCCAAAAACATGACTGTTAGGTTAATTGGCTTCGCTAAATTCTCCTTAGGTCTCAAATCTCTATCATACAACAGATAAACATGAAAATGTTCACGGCAAGTTTTTAATTAGACAAATTAAACCCAAATGCTCCTCATTTTATGTAATAACAAACCAAGATGGTGTGTTCTGAAGTTAAATTAATGCAGGTCATACTGTGTTGCCTTAAAGCTACAGTGTGTAATAATTACAGGGATATACAGTCAGAAATGTAATATATAATACATAACTATGTTATTTATCATCATCTACGAGCTCAGCCTCTTAACCTTAATATTTGCGTTACCTTAGAATTCGTTATTTATAATTACATAGGAGCGGGTCTCGCAGCCATGGAGGCAGACATCTTTGGGCTACGGCAGCGCAGAGCCAACAAACTAGCGATTGCGAGATCGCCAAAATGTCACAACGATGTAGAAAAAATAACGGGTATATTTATTATCTTAAGTCTACATGAAATCTATACCCTACACAGACTAATGAAATACTATCTGTAAAATTATCTATGTAAACAGACCTCATCACTTGAGAAGGTAGGTGATGCGGACATCGTGGAAGACATTTTGTCCCGTAACGCTCGTCGTACTGTTGGGGGGGAGAAGCGGTGGGGGGAGATGTTCATGTTGCTGCAGTCTGCAGTCTGACCGCTAGATGTCGCTAAAAGTTACACACTGTAGCTTTAAGTTTCTATCCATTTTCTATTCCAGATGTAATTTCAATAGTAGCTTGATCTCACATAGAGCTCCCCAACTGTTCTTTCTTTTGAATAAACATGCCAGCTGCAGGTGTAGTGGCCAATAGTTCTGTTATCAGGAAATAAAAATGTAATTCATAATTGCTGACTTGCATAATATATATAAGGATGTAGCTCAATAAAATGGAAAAGTTTCTAAGTTACAAATAATGTGATCATTTAGTGAAAAACAAGGTTTGCATAACAGCTGACTTACTGTGCAGGACTCCTACATCAAGTCTGAAGCACTCATAAAATGTGTTCGAACCTGGGAGAAGATCAGAAATTTTATTAGAAATAAAATGTTGGCATTTTCTCTTAAATTCCTCAGGAACAATTTAAGAACAAATTTGTGTGTACAAAAGGTTTCTGCATGAGGCCCATTGGTCTTATAGGAAAGCACAGCAGTGGCTCAGTGATGATGTGGGGCTGCTTTGATTACTCTGCCCCTGGAAAGCTGCAGGGGCTGTAGAGAAACATAGATAGTCTAAGGAAGCTGAAGCCTGGGGGATGATCAAATTGTTGCTCTGCTGTTGTGCTGCAGGTGTCTGGTGATTGACGAAGCCGACCGCATGGTAGAGAGAGGTCACTTTGCTGAGCTGGAGAGCCTCCTGGAGATGCTGAGCACCACACACTTCAATCCCACCAGACAGACATTCGTCTTCTCCGCCACTCTGACCATGGTCCACGGTTTGCCCAGCCGCGTCCTGCAGAAGAAGAAGAAGCTGGACAACAGGAGCAAACTGGAAATCCTCATGGAGAAGGTGGGGATTAAGTCCAAACCGAAAGTCATTGACCTCACCAGGAAGGAGGCCACCGTGGAGACCCTCACCGAAACGCAGATCCATTGTCAGAAGGAGGAGAAGGACTTCTATCTGTACTACTTCCTGCTTCAGTATCCTGGTCGCACCATGGTGTTTGCCAACAGCATCGACTGCATCAAACGGCTCACTGCTCTGCTGGCCATCTTGGACTGCTGTGCTCTCCCTCTGCATGCCAACATGCACCAGAAGCAACGGCTCAAAAACTTGGAACGCTTTGCTGAAAGAGAGAAGTAAGTCCTGCAGCCCCTGGGTGTTACTGACGGGACATGAACAACCGTGATTTGTCAAATATTGTTAATCGGAATTCATCTGAAATACTGAATCCTACCTATGGACAGGTTTCTCTGACATTAAACGTCCTAACCTGTCCCCACAGCTGCGTTCTTCTCACCACTGATGTGGCGGCGAGAGGCCTCGACATCCCCGACGTTCAGCATGTTATCCACTATCAGGTGAGGGCCTCTCGTCTTCAACCTCAACATGTTCTCACATTTACTAACTGCTGTCAAGGAAATATGAGCAGGTCTGTAAAGTATTGAAATGAGAGATAACATCCTTTTTTTCTACCTACCTTCTGATTTCTTTTTTTAGTAATTTAAATGATTTCCTTCATTCCTCCCTTGTGTCCATCATTCTTTTCTTACTGGAATCCTTTCTTCCTTCTTTGTCACCTTGCCTCTTTCTGTCCTACCTTTCTTCTGCTGTACCCCTTTTCTTCCTTGGTTCCATCCTTTCCTTTATTCCTATTTCCTTTTCTACTACTTCCTGTCCTTCATTTACTCATTGTTTTCTCGATTCCTTCTTTGATTTCTTCCTTCAGTCCATCCATTTTCCTTTCTTCCTTCAGTCCATCTGTCCTTTCCTTCCTTTGAAGGCGAAACTTTAGATAAACAATATAATCATGAAACAAGTTTCTAATAACGTGAAGAAGTCAGCAGAGAGCCATGCATAATATTGTAAACATTAGTACAAGTTTTGTCATTTGTAATTCGGATACTAAAAACACCAAAAGCATTAAAAAATCCTGCGATTCTTAAGGTATTTTATTAAGGTTATTCTTGCTGTAGACTCTGCTGCAAGTAAGTCAGGTTTAGGTAAACCTATTTTTGAGTTTAAGAAACCTCTAATACTCAAAATAGACAAAAATCTACTCTAAAAGTAGCTATTTTCAGCAAACTGCTTATCTTTTTTATTGCCATAGGGATTTATTCAGCATAGTTGATGTTTTTGCAAATAATTTTTATTGAAAAAAAACTATTAATATCCAGACCTTAGCAACACAATGAGACCAAATCAGCCTCATTTTGGATGTGTGAACTTCAATTAAAATTTTTATTTAGTTATTACTTAAGAGATTATTTATGGTTTATTTGAAACTTTATTACATGCTTTGTTTTTATCTCAGAATGAATGTATTATTCTTTCTGTTTAAAATCAGCCGCATCAGTTTGGTTTGCAGACTTGCAGATTTTGCAGGATTATTCCTTCAATCAGTTCCTCTTAAATTTTCTGGAAAAAAAACTCATTTTGCAGACAGGAGTCGTATTAACATGCTTTTTAAATGCCTGTCATACAAATTACTCCAAAAGTATGAACATAGTCATTTCATTTAGTCCTTGCCGTACACAATTGTTCTTTTAATTTTATTTTTTTATATTTTATTTTTTTAGGAAAACAAAAACAGAGTACATTACTTCCCACATATGAAAAATAGTTGATAGAATACATAAAAAATGTCTTCACACAATGGAAAACAATAAAAAATAATAATTCAAAGAAATTTCCACACAATGAAATAAAAAAACAAAATTGTTAGTCATAGTAGTGTATTAAAAGTATTTTGAATGAAAGCCAACAACAGTTTCAAAGACTGCAGAGAAAACCTGTATTTTACCTCCAAAATGTTCCGATTTCTGTGATAAACACTAATACAGTTATGTGAAAATGAAAGGCTGAGGGATCCTTGAGGCCTAATTAAAATATTATGAAAAACAAAGCTATTACTCTGGAATTACTTGTTTGTTGAAGATCTGATGTAAAATTAAACAGTTGTTGGACTTCATTGGCAGGATTGCTCCCGTATCATTTAGTGCAATCTGCTTTGCGAAATCTGTGCAGAAATTTAGTAAAATACATTTAAACTAAAGTAGAGATTGCACCATCAGACAACTGTTATTTTTGCTTCAGGTTCCTCGAACATCAGAGACCTATGTTCATCGTAGCGGCCGCACGGCGAGAGCCGCCAAGGAGGGTCTCAGTCTAGTGCTCGTAGGCCCAGATGATGTGATGAACTTCAAAAAGATTTCCAAGACTCTTGGAAAGGAAGAGGAGCTAACCTTGTTCCCTGTGGAGAACAAATGCATGGAGGCCATCAAGGTATGATCCATCATCATCATCATGAGTGACAGTAAAGCCTTTTAGATGATTGTCAAATGAGGGGCTTGGGAGGATGTGGAAAGATAAAGTGCTTTTAAATAAACTGGTCCTCAGTGCTGTACTTCTAACCAGAACTAAAAGCTACTGGGATTCTATGTCAGGATCTTTGACTGAGGTTCCATCTTGTTCTAATCTCCGGGGACTTTACAGGAGCGAGTGAACATTGCCAGGAAGATAGAAAAGATTGAGTTCTACAACAGCAGAGAGAAGCAGCATGACTCCTGGTTCAAGAAGGCAGCAGAGGCCATGGAGTTGGACCTGGATGATGATCTCCTTATGGGTGAGATTTACTCAGTAACATCTATTGTCTCAATAAAAAAAAAAAAAAAGATTGAATAGGTTTGGCTGCAGTCAGGAGAGTCTGTCTTGTTGCGCTCACTCCATGGCGCTTGTCTGGTGAACTTAAGCCTTTTAACCTCTATGCCGTTAACTTTTAAAAATTAAACTTTACATTTAATAACATCAGTTATTAAATGTTTTTCCCCCGGAAACTTTGCTCAAATGTTCAAAATTCCACAGGCTGCAGATGCTGGAGTTGGAAAAATCAAACTTTTGCTGCTCGACGCGCCACATCAACCAATCAGAGAAGCTGATTTTAGGCTTGCAGGGAGACAGACACAGCGCTGCTCATGTAGAGAACTATGGTCTCTATACTGAGACAGTTTATTAACGCCTAAATTAACTTAAAATGTCGATTGTCGACTAAATCTCTTCACTTTTATTATTCTCATGCTTGCAGTTTGTACCATATAACTGAAAAACGCTAAAATTCTCTTCCAGCCGCCACGAACAGTAGGGAAAAAAGCCCCAAAAGGAAACTGGGCCTGAGGCGGCTGTTGCTGGGGATTCTCAGTGACGGCGCCCCGCTGGTATGAAGGGATCTGAGCGGTTCCAACAGCAAATAACATTTTAAGGCATGATCATAATCTTGATGAACTGACTGTACAGACGATGTTTTAAACTGGATTTTCTCACTTTATAAAATATAAACCCTAGTTTTTACTGACTTATTACAGCAAATATAAGCCGCAAAGCCGCTCTCTGCCATTGGACACACTTCACTGGACGCGCTTTAGGAGCATCAAAGGTGCTCGTGAGGCGCATCTGACCCTAATGTGTACAGGCAGCAAAAATAAGGCAGCAGAAGCTTTTTTGCTGCTCAAAGCGCAATGTGAGCTTAGCATTACATTTTCTGATTGTTTGAACTAACCTATGACACATAATATTGTACCTTAAAATGATACCATGTGTTCCGTATGAAATGTCCACCTCTAGTCAAGCACACATACTCCCCACTATCTAACTGCATTCCACCTCAAAATGCAGGAAAAAGCATTTCAAAGAGTCTTAATTTCAAAATGTCCTGGGGGAACATGCCCTGTTCTGCCCTTTCAATTATTGACACTACAGGACTCATACCTCAACCTAGTTTTTGAGTGAGTCATCAAACAGTATCTTAAAACATCGCTCTTGCGATGTAGCTAATTATTCATGATAAAACTGCAGAGAAACAATTTGAAACAAAAAAAGGGACAAGTTATGAGGATGTGAAACGTGAGTTTTTGAAAGAAAAGAGTATGCTGGTGTGGCTTAAATTCACCAGACAATAGCCATCAGATAAGCACTGTGACATGGGAGGTCTCCGGGCTGCAGCCATACACTCTTGGAGAGAAAAAAAACTGATGAGCCGTGTCTGTCCACAGGTGGAGCTAAAGAGCAAGAGGTAGACCGGGAGCAGCAGAGGATGGTAAAGGGGTTGAAGAAGCATTTAAAGCATCTAATTACACAGCCAATATTTAAGAATTTGGTCAGAACAAAGTACCCAACTAAAATGGGAAAACTCGCCCTGGCAAACATGGTCGCCATGGGGACGGAAAGCGCTCTGACCAGGATTTCAGGACAGAAGAATGGACAAAAGCTGAAGATAGGCCTTCCTCAGCAGCAGAAAGGAAAAAGGCAGAGGAAAAGACGGGGGAAGAAGCAGGTGTGAGGTGGTTTAACCAAACAGTTGTGAATCTCACACAATATAGATTAAGAATAGCTGCTTATTGTGTGGCTATTTTGATGGACTGATATTTTATAAAAGTCGCTTTTCATAAGGGTCTAAAAGCCTCGTATGTGTTTTTATTTAGTTTAAAGGTGCTGTTATTTCCTGAGCTTGTCCGGATTGAGTTTGTCTGTAGAGAATGTTGTAATGCGACATCTGGTAGAGAAGATGCACGGAGGGATCCGCTCCCTCTGGGATGATGTGGTGGACCAGCTGCCGTTCATCCCCCTCCATAGACACAATGTGGATCCCGATGTCCAGAGCCTGGGACACTGCCAAGATGTCCACGTGGTCGCACTCCATAGCCATCACCTCCACTTCCTGAATGAGGCAGAGGGAAGACTTCATCAGCGCCTTGGATCCATTTGAAACTTAAATTTTCCCAGCAGAGTTTTATTAACTACCTGACGACAGTACACCTTTAGATCCGGTGCCTCCACAAAGTTGCAGAAGAATTCTGCGTGGGTTTGAAGGTGCGCAGATGTGAGGAGCCTGAGGAACTGCACCACGCTGTCTGAGATGAGCTGCTCGTTAAAGAGCCTGAGGAGGACGTCTTCATGCTCTGCAGCCATGCACTGATCCACCACATGGAAAACCTGCAGATCAAACCAGCCATCAGCCAAAACACGTAAACAGAGCTGAGGAGGCAGGAAATATTTATTTTCTTTAGAAAATGCATTCAAGGCTGTGCGTGTTTGGATAATTATTGATCCAAGTGCCAAAAAAGTTTACAAGCAGTCACCTAAAGCTCAAACCAGTTAGACTCAGTCAACTGGTTTGGGCTTTCTGTGGCTGCTTACGTTTGCAGACTTATTAAACAAGTAGAAACGCAAGTGAAACAAAGATAATTAAAATGTTTAGCTGCTGTTTGGAAATCCTTGAAATTAGCAACAGTATTCAATAAATAAAGGTGTATAACTCGACCTCAAAGGTGGGCTTTCATAAATTGACCCTTTAACTTATCTTTAAATTTGCAGTAAAAAGACTTGTAATCTTGTTTCTGATTGTTTTATTACTATTTTCACCCTTAACCCCACACTGCTCCCCGGGCGCCACACAATGGCAGCCAACTGCTTCCCAAGGGGATGGGTAATATGCAGAGGTAAATTTCTCCAATGTGAGATCAATAAAGTTCTATTATCATTATTAAAATTCCTTGATGTTGCTTTCAGGTAGTCCTATTTAACTTCAAACAAGTAAAAAAAAATGCAAGCTTATTTTAGCATGAATCTCTGGCCTCAAATTTATTTAACGTCTTAGGAAGGTCGGACGTCATGGATGAATCTCTGTAATAATTTTTTTTTATTTAGAGGAGGAAAGCGGGGACAAAGGTGTTGTGCAAGAGGACGCAATGGTGGCAGGGGCTTGGTTAGGTGTAGAAGGCTACAGCCGTACATGATTGAGCCCTTGCCTCACAACGCTGCCAGTTCTGTTAGCTCTACGCCTGCTGAAGACACAGACATCCATCCCAGTGAACACTTGGACGGAACTCAATGGGAAAGTAAATTATTCTTATTTCAACCGTTGCGTATATTAGCTGCGACATGAATTAAGATGCCTAAAAAAATGTGATTGACACATGATTGTTGATATATATGATTGGCCGAATTTAGGTGTACAGGCTGAGGTATAACTAACTGGCCTGCATAAAATAACGAAAAACTCAAAACACTGATTTTAAGACAGAATTTTATTTTTTTTTATAGAAATTTTCTACGTTTTAGGACAATATGGTCTGATAAAGAGTTCATTTATATACATGTTTAAGCCAGAATGATGTGACATTTAAATATGATTTCCCTACAACTTTAAAAGACGACAAATGGGATTTAAATAAACTGTTATAACAAGCAATAACTGTTCATGATGGGTCTTAAAGTTTTTATCTTGCAATGCGTTTACTGTACACCTTTTTTTTTTTTTTTTAAACGGGCAGAATAGTTAGAAAATGTCTGCTAACAAAAGAAACTTGAGAGAAACTTACTCTATTCATGTGTTGGCTGAATGAAGTCTCATCGAATCCTGCAGAAACCAAAACTCCTCTACTTTGTATGATCTGGTCCTTAAATCTGAAACAAAGACCACACACACACACAACACTTTTGTTATTTTTTTATGCACAGGGTCCCACTAACCTCTGCAGAGCATATTTTGTGCAACCTGCAGAGATTGGTAAGGACCTGGGGTTGTAGACTGCAGATCCGTCTCTGGGGTTTTGAATCTCTGCAGAAAACATTGTCTGAACCCTGATTGCAGAGCCCGGGAATTGTGCAGAGAACAGCCCACTGCTGAACTTTGCTGGCTCTGGAGCTCTGCAGAGAACACTGATGAACTCTGCATAGCCCTGATGGCAATGGAGCAGATTCTAATCTGCAGGGACCTTCAGTTCTGCAGAGTTTATTCTCGGGTCTCTAAAGAGTGCAATGCATTACTGACCTCTGCAGGGCTCTGGGACTGTGCAGGACAGATTCCAGATGTGCGAAGCAGACTGCTCTATAGAAGCAGTTTCCATCACCGCGAACCCTCCTCACAGCTGAAAATTGGCGACCTAAGTCCTTAGACAACAGGGGAATTATAGTTGTAACACAACGGCCCGTCTAAATATGATGCATCTACACATTAGGCCGCATACTTTATACTTGGGACTCGGCGTTTCCTCGGCCAGCAGCGATGAGATGTCCTCTCTGCAGGAAACCAGGCTGCAGACCTCCATCTGCTGACAGTCCAGCAGCTTAGGGTCCTGGCGCAGATTCACACGGTCTCACGCAACACAACATGCGTCAAAATACGGGCAAGATCTCGTTTCGTAAAACATGTAACTTCCACTTTCAGAAAACCGGATGTTTGCGGAAGAACATGTGCAATCCATTTAAAGGGCCAGTACGCCGCTTGCCGCTGACGTCATAATCGCTCCTTAGTGACTGGATTACACATGTAGGCTATTACAAGAACAGTGAATATACGTTTGAATTTTGAGTCTCTCGCAATAAGTAGTGCAGATACAAGCAAATGGCGTAAACATCGGTAAGCAGAGACTGCAGTTGCTTAGGGGCCCCTGACCTCTTCGGGGCCCTGTCACTGACACCAAGCTGTGTCAAGTAACGAAGTACAGATATTTCATTACTGTACTTAGGTACACTTTTTAGGTATCTTTATTTTACTCCATTACTTATTTTTCTTCCTACTTCTGACTTCTACTCGTTACATTTTCACACAAGTATCTGTACATTCTATACCTTACATTTTTAAAACAAATGTTACTCGTTACTCTTGGCTTCGGTTTAATTCAGAGGTCACGGATTAGAGGACAGCGGTCCTATGGAGGACCAACTCTGCCATATTTAAAAATAAATACAGAAATAAATAAATGCTCTATAAATAAATAAGCATACAATTAATTGCCACCAAAAATACAATAAACAAATAAATGTAAGTAGAAATTAAATTATATAGTGAGACATAAATGTATATAACTATTTTAATTAGCTTCTTTATTTATTTGCCTTTGTAATATTTTACTTATTTATTTTTTGGTCCTTTATAATCTTCAACTTTATTTTTTAAAGTGTCCTAGAGAGTCAGCTGTTAACATGAAAAATTTAAATGTTAAATAAGTTAGAAAATTTCCACTTGCGAGAATTACTGCTGCCACCGTCTGTGTTGGAGGGAATAAATGGTAGGGGTGGCCATGGTCACCATGGCCCCCCATCTAGTTCCGCCCCTGCCAGTAATACGGAGCCCGTCACGGTGCAAAATGGCTCCCACAATGTCCACATCACCTTTCTTGTTAAGTCATGATGAGGTTTGTTTACATAGATAATTTTGTAAATAGAATTTTATTAGTTTGTTTTGCATATAGATTTTATAGGTTACAGGCCTTACTAGCCGCAGTCACACTGGAGCCTAATGGGGTCCCTACTGTCACTAGATTGTCAGCTCTGCCCTGCCTTAGTAAAGATGTCTGCCTCCATACAAATGCGACCCGTTCCTATGCAATTTTAAATAGCAATTTCTAAACCACACCATAGATGATGATAAATAACATACTTTTGTGTAATAAATCCCTGTATTATTACACAATGTAGCTTTAATTGATTTACCCCAAGGGGAAAAATTTCCACTTTGAAAAAGCAATATTTTACCACAATATGTGATACTGCTAACAATCAATACATATAGAATTGAACCCATCGGCTAATGTCAACGTTGGAGAACCAGTTTTTTTCACTGTCAGATTTTACTTGTGGATTAAAAATAATAATTTGAACAAAGGTGCCTGAAGAAAAAGACCTAAAGAAGAGATCATGCAGTTTGTTACTCAGTCTTTAGAAACATGTACTAGAGATAAAAGAGATTACACAAATTCCCAAAGATAGGTCTAACTTATTTTGGCCACATTCTGTAAACTGCATTTTCTAATCTATAACTGCCATCAGAAAATAAAACATATCGTCTTACCTGTGTGTATTAATGAAAGCTTTCCTTCAAAGAGTCATTTCTCTGTATCTCTGTTAACATAGCAAAGTTTCTAAATATACAAAGAAACATAGATGCATCATTTGAATCCAAACATTTATTTTTCAATAGAATAGCAATTATGTCCCCATGACCTTTCCAGGTTCTGGAACCTAAGAACTTTGTTGTATAGAAATGAAAAAGTCTTACATATGCCTAACAGAGAAAAATGTTGACAAAATCTTCCAGAATAAGTAAAAAAAGCAATTAGCAACAAAGTCAGTGTGAAAATGATCGGGGAAAAAACCAGCATCAATTGAATGTGTCACTCATTTTACTGACTCTGCTTGAACTTTTGATTTGAACTTTGCTTCCAATGCTTTTCAGTGATTCTCTCCATCTTTTGTCAGTCAGACTTGCTGTAGAGCAGGACTCCAGCTTCCTCACTCTCCTCTCAGTGTCTGCGCTGTCCAGAATGAACTCCTAAAATATTTGTTTGGACATTCATTTCGTTATCATTGTGTACGGAAACCACATTTTATAGGCTGTTAAAAATAGACACACAACTCTTTTCTCCTATTGGTGTCTGATATTGTATCTGAGTAAATATTTCCTAGTTTGCATTGATGAAGACTAACAAAGTGATTTCACATTGGCTAAATGCCAGAGTAATTAACTTAATTTTCATATTTGAGGATCAAGTTCTGCATGGGCTTTAATCTTTTTCTAGTTAGTTTCTAGCTAGTTTTGTGGTCAATTGTTTTCAATATCCTCAACTTGCAGTTATTCCAAATAATTTACCCCTTGAAATCTCTCACCAAACTGACAAGCTGAAAGCTTCAGACAGCCTTTTGGATCCTGACATATTTATTATTGCTTCATCAGTCAGTAGCACACCATGCTCTAATACTCTATGTGCTCCTAATATGTTAGGTCTGTTTGTGATTTGATCTATTTTATATACTAAGAAATGTGTCCTAAGTTTTAAAACTTTTTTTTGTTTATACTTAAAAAAACACTTTTTTCTTCAGATCTTATCGATTATATTTCTTGTATTTTTTAATGTTGTTTCAATTAATATAAAATATAAATATATCTGCTAAGATTTCACAGATTCTCAGTTATAGAAGTTCATAGATGACGATGTTACCTTCACCATGTCCATCATTGTCGGCACACTCATGCTTTCCAGATCTCCGTACTCTGGAAGGTAACAGTGATGTGCAAGATTTTTAACAGCCATAAGTGTTCTTCCAGTTTCCACAGCCTGGGAGACACATAAGCACATTGTATTGTTTCTGAACAGCTCAATTATTTTGCAACTTTAACGTTAAAGAAAACAAACCTCCTTTCTGGTTACACGTCGTCTCATCAGTAAGTTAACCTCTGCCTGCTTGTTCTTCTCTTCCAGGCCTTCTAACTCGCTCAGCAGTTCATATAGTTTCCTGTTGGACATCTGTGTGTGGAAGATTGAATCATTAAAGCCATCTGATATTCAGAAGCATTATTTGAGAGGTTTAGGTCTCTTACCAGCTGTTTGATGCTGTGCTGCTGCTTCATGTTTTCCAGCTGCTGCTGACCCTGCTCCACCTCCAGCTGCATGTCCTTGTGACGTTGCAGCAGTTCCTGGTGGGTAATGGACAGCATTTCGTGGCGCCGAATAACAGGCATTACCAAAGGTTCATTGCTAATGTGGCGGTGAACTGTAAAAGATGGCACATACATTTGTCCATCATGATGGAGAGGTATAACTAACAGGTTGACATATATTAACCTTTTAAGAACAGATTCCTTTTTTCCTTTGGACATTAATAATCTATCTATCCAATAAATGCCAGAATAATGAGAGAGGGTGTTTTTTTTAAATCATTTTTTTTTTTTAACTGACAACTTATATTTTTCTTTTACAGCTGCAGCCAACATCCTATTAAAATTCTTATGGGTTGTATTGACACATTCTTTCCATCAATCCATCTTGTCCTGCTTCATCTGTCTCCAGCAGTCTATGGGATAAATGCTGGTACACCTTGGACAGGGCGCCAGTCCATCCCAGGACAACACAGAGCCATACAACCATGCACACACATTCAAACCTAAGGACAAATTAGAGGTGACAATTATCCTGCTATTCGTGTTTTTGGATTGTGGGAGGAAGCCAGACTACCTGGAAAGAGCCCACAAATGCACAGGGAGAACATGAAAACTCCATGCAGAGAGATCCTGGGCCAGGAATCAAACCCAAGACCTTATTGCTGCAAGGCAGCAGTGCTACAAGCTGTGCCACCGTGCAGCCCTTACATTTCTTTCCAAAATCTGCACAATTTTTGGGCCAATATAGAGTATCAAATGTCCCCATGCTCATTGTGCCACTATAGTTTTTTTTGGAATTTTTCTGGCTGATTTTGTTTCTATAATAACACAGGAAGTGCGTTTGACATGTTAGGTAGACCTTAATTTAGCTCAAATGTTGTTAATTAACCAGGTGATATTTATTCTAAGTTAAATAAATTATTTTTGTAATCCAACAGACCAAAAACAGTGAAAGTTTTGTGCAATTGAAATGTGAGATTACATTTATTTATAATATATAGGATGCACGGGATTATGTGGTTTCAGGTGTTTATAATGAGATGTTGACTTACTGCTGGGGAGACGATCTAGGGTTTTCAACAAATAGTCCTCGTAGATTCTGTATTTTTCAGTTTTCTGCTCTAAAACTTTCCGCCTGTAAAATTAAGATAGGCTTAACAAAGGAGAACCTTCTCTCACAGTAAACTACCTGTTTCACAACCTAACCTGGTTTCCAGTTTTGTCATCTGCTCTGTCAAATCCTCTATCTCTCTCTTTTTCAGGGCATTCTGCTCCCTCATGGCCTTACACTCTTTCATTGCTCTTTGTCGCTTTGCTTCATTCTCAGCCACAAACTTCTCGAATTTCATCTCTGTCTCTTTAGCCTGAGAGAAAATCCAAAACCAACAAACACTATAACACAGTTTTTTCTAGCATTTCTTTTCAGTAACTTCAGAAGATTTCAACTCACTTGCTGCTGTTTTGTTTCCAGCTCTAACCTTTTATGAGCCAGAGCCTCCATGCAGCTTTTGAAATATTGTCTCTTGAGTGCAAGCTGGACGTCCACATCATGCAGCTCGGCTTGTTTTCTCGCAATCAGCGTCTTTTTTAGCATTTTCACTCCACCCTCTAGGAGTTTGCTGGTCTGGGACGTTTGAAATAAACGAGGTGCTCTAACCCAAACCTTTTGAAGTGTTCAATAATATGCAACAAGCACAATTAAAGCAAACGTCAAAACAAGAACAACTAATTTTTACCTCTGTAGCTGCAGGTATGTGGTACTCCTCTTTTTTCCTGTCCCTAAATAAAATGTTAATAAGAGTGTTTTAGTTATTTTTTTTTATCCTTCTCAGGGTGAGCAGATCATGCCTACCTGTTGTCATCCAGCTCAGTAACAAAGACCTTTTTCACTTTTGTTTCCATCTGTG